TACTRTAACTRAAGGATWTATCGTTTAATGGAAAAAATAAATTAACGAAATTTTAAAGRATTGWTGGGAACATTTTTGATATGACGTTTGAAAATTTWTATTTGTAATTTTTTGTTTAAATTGAAATAAATTAATAATTGCAAAAAAGAATTTTTCGAACTTTGTAATATTTATAAAAAGGATAAAAACGTTTAAAAAAAAATTCATCGGGATTTGATAAGAAATACAGATTGTTTATCATCATCCGACACAAGATGGTTCGAGAATTAAAAATGGCGGATGTAGGAGGAGAAAGGTGGATTTTAGAAACTGTGAATGGTAGAAAAGGATAAGAACATAATACAGTATCCGAACAGTGGATATTTCTAAGACCGGTTTCCTGTTAGGGTCTACTCTCCTCCCCTCTGCCTCCCACAAAGAAAAGTAAACTTCAACATAGGCGGCCATATTTACGGGATATTTCTTTTTTTCGCGTCTATACGAATTATTTTGATTCAATCATCTATAACGGGTGTTGAAAAATTCATTTCTATAAACTTACAAATATTCAATAAAATTAATATTATATACCGGGTTATGTAATAATAAATTTTCTCATAAATAATTCTAATATACAAATGATTTTAATTTTCTCGTTCCTTTTTTTTCTTTTACAGATCCTTATAATGAAAACATCCGTGAAGATGTTAATACACTTGATGGACCTTCGACGTCTGCCAACAATATCAACAAGCGTATGAAAAGTAAAAAGCGTCGTGAGGTTCAACAAGAATTTTCTCATTCATGGCTTTCTGGTACTTTAAAGGGCCATACCAGTAACGTCTTTAATATGAGCTTTTCCAGCAACGGCAAACATCTTGCATCCTGTGCTGAAGGTATGAATCGTTCAATATTTTTATTATTGTCATTATGCTTATGTTCGTTTTTCAATTTTTATTTTTTATTTTTTATTTTTTTTTTCTTATTTTTATTTTTATTTTTTTTTTTCATTCATCAAAATAGTTTGTCCGAATTCGATTAAAAAAAAAATATATATATATATAAATAAATATTAAAATCATAAATKTAATAATAATAATAAATACACTAAATAAATACACTTAATTTTTTTAATAATAACAATAATAATAATATTAATAATGATAATAATGAATCGTTTAAATTAATAATAACTAATTTTTAATTAGTTTTCCATGTTTTTTTTTCTAATTTTTGCATTTTTTAATTTATTTGTTATATTTTTTTGTTGTTTTTTTTTTTTTATCTTCAAAAAGTAGGCAACGATGAACGCGAATGGAGGGGGGTCACGCTGACGGTCGAGAACAATGGCGGGTTTTAGTATTTGCAGTAATGAACTTTAGAGTTCCTAATTAATAATAATAATAATAATAATAATAATAATAATAATAATAAAAATTTTGATTTTCATCGAATCGGACGAACGTATTAAATTTTGTTAATATTAAATAATTAAATTATTTCAATAATTTCCCTCTACGAATTATCCTCGATAAGTCGACAGTTGTTGTGTTGGATAAAAATTTAAAAAAAAAAAAAAAAATAGAAAAAAAAAAACATAAAATAATTCGATGTTCTTTTGTCATCTCAACTTGTAAATTCGCAAAATTGAACGAAGGAAATTTATTTTTTTAAATTAATAATTAAAATAACAATTTTTTTCATTTCAAATTTTTTCTTTTCAAATCAACGTAGTACAAAAAGTAATCAAAGTACAAACGTTATTTTGTACAACGTAGTAGTACAAAAAAAAAAAGATTTAATATCGATGTTAATAATTATTTCAAAATATAAATTTTAAATTATTATTATTTATATACAAAATATTCATTATAAATAATTTATTCGTATTATTAATCATTTTATATACAGGGGTAGGTCACCACATTTTACCATCTAGACTTACGTTATTATTATTACGCGTAGCAGACAATGCATTCACATGGAGTTGATGAATGGCTTTAAAAGGGGTTCATACTGATAGTACGTTTTTTTTTTGTAGGTGGACGCGTAAAGGACATATGAAGGTCATTAATGTTTTTTTAAACGGAATCATATAGTTTTTATTGCATCATCTGATGCTCTTTCATATTATTTACAAAAAAGTATTAACCTATTTATGTAAAAAAAATTTTTTTACTTTAGGAGATATTTTAATTTTTATGTCTATTTACAAAAAAGGTTCAATGTGGCGATCATTTGCATCAGAACACTTTCTGAAACGAGAAATTAATGACTCATTAACGTTTCTTAATATATCTGATGTTATTTTCTTGCATTCATTGACGATACGATCCCCCATATCGGCCATTGTAGTCGGAGGCTCAGCGTAAACTTTATTTTTTAAGTAGCCCCATAAGAAAAAGTCGAGGGGCGTTAAATCTGGTGATCTAACCGGAAAATGAATGGGCCCACCCCGTCCTATCCAACGATTTGGGAACTTTTGATTTAATGTATCCCTTGCTATTCTTGAATAATGACCAGGGCAACCATCCTGTTTTATCCACATTATTTGTCGTCTGTGCGATGGTAAATAGTCTAAAAATGTCCATAGAGTGTTTGATCAAAAATTTGCATATTTTGGTCCGGTTAGTGATCCTTTGATAAAGTATGGACCAATAAGTTTATCGCTGAGTATGCTCATCCAAACATTTACACTCCATCGATGTTGATTATTCATTTGTCTAAACCAATGAGAATTTTCCGTTGACCAATAATGGGCATTTCTTAAATTCATTGATTCATTTTTCATAAACGTTGCTTCTTCCGTGAACATAACATTGCTGAAAAAGTTGTCTCTTTGAGTGAGAGCTAAATTACAAAATTCTAAACGTTGATAACAGTCACTTGCGGTCAGTTCTTGAACCTTTGATATATGATATGAATGATATTTGTGCTTTGTAAATAGACATAAAAATTAAAATATCTCCTAAAGTAATAATTTTTTTTACATAAATAGGTTAATACTTTTTTGTAAATAATATGAAAGAGCACCAGATGATGCAATAAAAAATATATGATTCCGTTTAAAAAAACATTAATGACCTTCATATGTCCTTTACACGTCCACCTACAAAAAAAAAACGTACTATCAGTATGAACCCCTTTTAAAGCCATTCAACTCCATGTGAAAGCATTGTCTGCTACGCGTAATAATAATAACGTAAATCTAGATGGTAAAATGTGCTGACCCACCCTGTATATATATATATATAAATGTTAACGAAAAAAAAATCGTGTTTGTTTTTTCAATTTTGCTTCAATCTTTTTTTGTTATTTTTTTTTTGTTAGAAAAAAGATATTTATTTATAAATTTGTTAATGCATAAATTTAGAATTTAGATCTTCCTCGTAAGTTGTTCATCAATTTCTTCCAATTACCAATTTCATTTGTTTATTCTTTTTTCATTTTGTTAGCTAATTTTGATTATTCATGCTTTTGTATTATTTAGATCATCATCAATATACATTTATATATGTACACACACAAACACACACACGTACATACACATAATTATTGCTTTAGAATCATCATATTGTCTCTACAAAAAAGTAAAAAACAAATAATAATTTTCATTGTAATTTATTTTATAATATAAAATAATATAAACAATGAGTGAGAGATATTATTCCCGCCAAAAAAAAGTAAGGAGGTGTAGGATAGCGACATCTATAGATCATTAACGTACGGACTGTTACGGTAATTCTAACGTAACTTTTGTCTTACAAAATTTGTGATAGGCACGTGTATGTTTATTGTTAGCTCATATTACAAAGCATACCATAACCTATAATTATTCTTATTTGTATTAATTTATATAATACATTAGTTTCTACCAATATATATATATATATATATATATATATTGCATATTAATTAGTCTGCGTCTCACCTTCTTCCTGCTAACATAAACCAAACACAAATTAACTTTAATTAATTCACCCGTTGAAATTAGGGATTTTATTAATTTCGTAGGAATTGTTTTTAATTTGGTAAATTTTCAAAAAAAAAAAAACAAAAAAAATAGAAAAAGACAACAAAACTCAAAAGAATAATTATATGAATTAATTAATAATAATGAATTAATATAATAAAAATGTAATTTATTATTATTAATTATTAAAATTTAGGTTAATTTCAAAATCAGGATGCAGTTTATCAAACAAAACACGCGTTTAGGTTTTCTATAGGAAACCATCAGAGGAAAGGAAACGGAGTGGGGGTAACAGAGATGATTTCATTCAGATGACGTAATGGAGTAACAATTATGTTGTAAATCGATGATTAAATCATTCCTTTAATTTTTTTTTTTTTTTTTCTTTTTTTTCTGTACCCTTCCAACCACCCACCAATCCACCCCCACTCATCCACCTGCTTCATATTTTTTTACAAAACACACGTGACGGTTTATATATTTTGTTTGTTTGTTTGTTTTTTTTTTTTTTCAAAATAATTCTATATTTGTTTTCTACTTTGAATTGCAATTTTTCAACATAGGAAAATGCGATATCTATGATATGTATGTATGTGTGTGCGTGTATGTGTGCGTACGTAATATAAATAATTAGCGAATTTAAATGAATGAATAAAACGATATCGTTTCAATAGTTGAACTAATTTCGTATTCCATTTTTCGAATAAATATATTAACCGCAGCAACAATGTTTATTTATAAATAATAATTAAACATTAATTCGTATAAATTAATTAATGTTAATTAATAATTATTAAAAATAGTCAAAATTAGGATATTGGTCGAAGGAAAGTGATGGACAAATTAAGAAAAGTTTGCAATTTGTTATAGCTTTCTTTTTTTTTTTTCTTTTTAATTTTTTTCCTTACACATATATATATATATATATACATATGATTAATTCTTAAATTAATCCATTTGTTATTCTAATATTTAATTGATCAAATTAAAATTATTTTTCATGATAGAAAATAATAATATAAATTAATATATATATATATATATATTATAATTAAATATATATTTAAATATTTTATTTGAGTCACGTCGTTATTATTTCTTTTCTCGTTTGTCTAAAACCACGGTAATCAGATGTTACTATTTAATTAAGCTGATATATTATTTATTAATATAATAAATAATATAAATATATATATATATATATATATATATATATATTAATAATTAAAAATATATAATATTTAATTATTTGATTTGGATCACGCAGTTATTATTTCTTCATTCGTATTCTCGTTTCTTATTTGTTAATGAGACCGTGACGTGTTTTGCTCTAATTAAATTGACCAAAAAAAAAAAATGTTAAATAAAAAAAAAAAAAACTAGTCTCCTACTAGTGCGTTCAAAAAAAAAAAAAAATAATAAAAAACAGACATATATAAAATAACCTTGACTTTGAAATACTCGTTTTAGTCGGATAATGTTTAACATTTTTACGACCTGATGTTACTTTCTACTTTCTATATAAATCAAAACGGTATTTTCTTAGATGGTCACCGTTAAACGTAGAATTATTAGAAAATGTTAAAATAAAACTTTCACGTGTTTTGTTAAATAAAAATTAACGATGATTAAATTTATAGTTTTTTTTTTTTTTTTTTTTAATTTTTTTTTTAATTTTTTTTTAACTTTTTTCTCGTATTTATTTTTGATTAGTAAAACACACACACACACACACAAGAAAAAAAGTAACATCGTAATTATAATTTTTTTTTCTTTTTTCAAAATAAATTATTCTCAAATTAACCCATTTAATTATTTTTAATAATCAATTAAATAATCCAAAATTAAAAATACATTTTTTATTCGCTATAGATAATATAAACTAAAATAAATCAAATTTTTCAACAATTAATCAATTATAAATATTTGAACAAAATTAAATCCATATTTGTTATTTTAAATAATCGATCGATCAAAACAAAAACTAAATTAACAAAACAAAAAATAAATAAATAAATTAATTAATTAATTAATAAAAATTCGAACAAATATTAATGGGTTAAATTAGAATAATTTATAATAATAAAATAATAACATTGTTAACGAAAAAAAACAAAACAATTTATTAAAAATAAACAATATTGTTAAATCGTCGACTTAACTTGGAGATAAATCGTAGGGGGAAGGGAGAACATATGAATGATGATAATAATAATGAATAAAAAAAAAAAAAAAACCACAAAAAAAAATTGTATGTATGCTCATGTAAAATTTGTTTTTGTACATAAAGATCATTATAAGCGGCCACATGGGATACCGATGGCGATGATGACTCCTAAGGTAACACCGACAACGAGAACAATGTCGAGATTACCAATCTCACATTTATGCCCGCTTCTAACTAATCAACGTTATGTAAGCTTACCATCATATGTACCACCACCACCACCAGCACAACGAATCAACAGATGCAGTAACGTACCAAAAAATAAGGGATATCAGACATCGATGGGTTATCAACATCAACTACAACAACAACAATATTATAGTCGATCATATTATCAGAAGAAACGTGATCAACAATATTATCAACAGCAGCGAGAACAACAATATTATCAACAAGAACAGAAATATAATCAAGAAGAAGAACCAGAAGAAGAAGAAGAAGGAAAAGTACAAGAAGACCAAGAGCAAGAACAGACACCGTTGTCTTCTTCAACAAGTACAGAACTAAGTACTTCAAAGAATTTGAAAAGAAAGTCTGCTAGTCCTTTATGGATACCACCACCACAACAACCAACAACAATAAAACCTACCAGTAATAATAATTCTGAATTGAAAGATGACTCAGTATACATACCGGAATATAAACAAAACGTATGTAATTTAAACCATTATCAGCAAGTAGCAAGAAATATATATTTCCATCAAGTGTACATGCAATTAATGTCAATAGAGCAATTGTTCATATCTGGTCGACCAATTATAAGTCTGAGAAGTGACGTTTTACCAAATTTTCGTTATATAGAATTGGCCAAACAATTGGCACAACAATTGGCGGAACAATTGGAAGTGGGAAAATTAACGACCGAACAATTGACAGCACAATTGGGTGAGATCAATGCAGGAGTTGTCGAAGATACTTCTTTGTACAAGAATGCAGTATTACCCTATTGGATGGAGGGTAGATATCCAAGCAAAGAGACGTATGGTTTTGTTGAAACCAAACGGAATGAGTTTATCATCAACGATACCATATTGGAATATGTATTGCGTACTTATGTGCATCATCCTCTTTATTTGATAGAAGCTGGTTATCCATGCGCATTAAATTTTGATGCTAGATTCAAGCAATTCATCAATAACCTACATAAACCGTTTAAGCCGAAAAATAAATTTAACATGATACAATCGGTTAATAATGTCAATACCGTTGCTAATAACAATTCTGAATCTGACACTACCGATAACGATGAACAACTGAGTCGTGATTGTGTTAGATCATCGTCATTTACTTCATCGTCTAGAAAAGATTATATTAATGAAACAACAACTAGACAAAGAAGTAGTTCGATATCAAATATGGTTGAATTTGATACTATTGAAACGAGATGTTCAATGTGCCTTAAAGGTTTTTACCTGTACCGTGCTAATGGTGACTTGGATAAGACAGAAGTATGCATTCATCATCCAGGTGAATTAATATTCCATAACAGAGACAAGGTTAAGACTTGGACCTGCTGCAAGAATCGTGCTAGTGTATTGGGTTGTAAGACTGAGACCTCTCATGTGTGGAAAAGCTATAAGAAAAATTTTACAAGCTCACAAATTGATTATGTACGCACCAAACCTTCTGAAGTACAATCTGAGAACCGTATCTATGGTATCTATGGAATTGACTGTGAAATGGTTACAACAGAAAAAGGATTAGAACTGGCCAGAGTTAGTCTGGTTAATATACATGGACATGTAGTCTATAATGAATATGTCATACCAAGTTGCAAAGTTATTGATCATAATACCAGATTTAGTGGCATTACACCTGATGATTTATCAAAAGCTACTAAAACTCTTAAAGTTGTTCAACAAGATTTATTGGGATTTATCAAAGCTGAGACTATACTCATTGGCCACGCACTTGAAAATGACCTTAAAGTCTTACGTATGATCCATTACACTTGCATTGATACTGCATTATTATTCAAGCATCCTGATGACTTGCCATTCAGACATAGTCTCAGAGTATTGAGCAAATCTTATTTAAATAGAATCATACAGAATGGTTCCCACAATTCTGTTGAAGACACCTTATCAGCGCTGGATTTAGTTTTATACAAATTAAGAACTGATGGATTCTGAATCATCTTCATTTCCATCCCCCAATATCCCAGTTAGATTTATATTGTGAAAAGAAAAAAAAAGCATTCGAAATTTATTATTCAAATTTGAGAGTGAAAAAGGAATTTATAATAGAGATAAGATTTATTGAAATGATTGAGAACAAACAAAATAAACAAATGTAATTTTATTATAATTACATTTGTTTGTTTTTTTTTTTTTTTTAAATAACATATTATTATTATATATTTTATTGTTTCTTTTTCTACTCTCAAATTATTATGAAGGATAATAAATTGTTGAAGTTTCTTTTTTCTTGTTGGGTCAGATTATAAACCCACATATGTAAGAAGAAGACAGTCCCCCATAACTTCATAGATTCTCTCTCTGTTTAATTAAAGTCAAAAACAAAATGTTTCATTGTGTTAACGCGAGGTTTTTTTTTTTTTTTAATATTGATCAGAAAAAATGTGTTATTTACATGATAAGAAATGTTTTGTTATATGTTGTATTTTCACATATATATATATGTATAGAAAAGAAAGTAATATCGATTAGGCAAAAATTTATATATATATATATATATATATATATAAAATATATATTCAGAATTTTAATGAAAACTGTGATACTTTTTATAATAGTAATAATTAATCTATAATAGTAATAGGATGAAATGGTAGGTCAGTTGTTGTTTTATTTTTTTTTTTTATTTTATGTATTTTATCTATTCATTATTTTTTTAATTGTCATACATTTATGGTGGCACTGAGACAAAAAAAAAAAAAGAAAAAGAAGAAAAAAAACACTCCAATAGAATTTCATTTTCAATATAACTGACAAGAATTTCACGCCATTCAGTGTGAAATTTGCTACTTTCTTACTTTTATAATAATAGTAATAATAATAATAATAATAATGAATAATAGAAATATATCAAATATAATAGTTATATTGAACATGTACATTTTTTTTTTTTTTTTAATAATAATCATTTGAAATAATAATAATAATAATAATAATACATAATATAGTTCATCCATTAAGTGCCACCATAACTCATTTCAATAATTATTTTAATATATACAAAAAAAAAACATGGTGTTCTCAGATTATTAAATATTAAATTATTAAAATTATATTAAAAGAAATGGTAAATAGAATTTGTTTAATTTATAATCATGGTATTATTGTAGTAATCACATTTTGACTTAAATCATTTTATATGTAATCTTTTGTTTTTTTTTTTTTTTACTTCATTTTCATTTTGTTTTTTTCTTGTTTCATATATATTTGTTTTCTTATAATGATATATATAGGTATATAAATCATATCTGACATGAGACACCTTGTAAATATTTTTATATGTTACCATACATGTTTATACGATATATGTATGTATATATATATGTATACATATGTATTTTAAAAAGAAAGAAATAGAATTTAAATGGAATGTACTTAATAATCGTTAAAAATCTGAGTATATGCGTTATATCATATTAAAACTGTAAATATTAATTTTAGGGGGAAAAAAAATACAACACACGCAAACGCACACTTATAAACACTTGTTAGACACTGTTCAATAAACACACACGCACACACACATGTACACTACACAAACATAAAGCTAAAAATTGTAAACTGCGTGTTTGTTTATTAAAACGTACTTTTCTAAGAAACCTTTGTTTTCCTTCTTTTCTTTTTTTTTATATATATATATATTTATATTATATTTTTACTTCTTATTGTTTTTTTTTTTGCTAATATTTTAATTGTATACACATAAAAAAAAGCAAAAATCATAGAGGCTATATTAATTTTTTTCCTTTTTTTTTAAAAAAATGTCGCTTTTATAATAAGTCAAATGAAAAAAAAAAAAAAACTAAAATTTGAAACAAATACAACTGTATATATATATATATTTGAGAACAGAATTTAAAGTAGAATGTTGTTCGTTTTTCATTTGTTATATTTTATACAAGATTTTTAATGCAGTTATGGTGTTTTATTAGAAAGAAAAAAAAAATAAATGAGAAAAGGCTTAATAAGATAGACGATGCCGCCATTTTGAATTAACGAAAAACACAAAATTTGTTATTAAAACCATTGAGAGGTTAACCTAACTGCCAAAAAGCGATTTTTAAAGGAAGAAAATAAAGAAAAATTTAATTAAAAAAAAAAAACCAAAACTTCGCACTAGGCGTTGAAAAATTTATAAATTTATAATAAAAAAACAAGAACGAAAAAAAAAATAAAATAAATAAATAAATTTGTTAAAGTAATTAAAATGAAAATATACGCGTTAATTATATATGCACATATTCGCGTATATTTTTAATTTAATTTCTTCTAATAATAATAATAATAATTATAATAATAATAATAATAATAATAATAAAACAATAATACGCGACACGATTAAATAATTCCGTTCTATTTATCAACGACTATAAAAATAAAAAATAAAAAAAAAGAAAAAGCAACAAAGTCATTCCGTTATATTTTTATATATATATATATATATATATATATTTATATATATATACATCATATATATATATATATATACAATATATTTTGAAAAATAAAAATCGTGCAAAATTGAAACTTGTTCAACAAACGAATTTTTCGACGAATGCTTTGATTTTTATCATGTTCCTCAATCTTTCTTTTTTTATTTAAAAATTGTCAATTAACAATTCTTCCTCTTATTATTTTCTTTCTTTTTTTACTTTTCTTTCTTTTTTTTTTTCTTTCTTTCTTTCTTTCTTTTCACATACACAATGTTTTTCTATTCATTGTTTTTTCCTGCAGAGAAAAAAGGTAAGAAAGAAAAACGTCCCAATAGAAAAAAAAAAAAAGTGAGGTTATTGTTAAAACACAATATAACATTCTCGCCATTTTCAATTATTATTCATAACAAAAGATTTTGCAACAATTGCATTTATTAATAAATGATACAAATCAAGAGTGTAAAAAAAAAAGAAATGAAAGACAAAACCAAAATAGAAAGAAAGAAAGAAAGAAAGAAAGAAAAAAAGAAAGAGAGAAAAAGAAAGAGAGAGAGAGAGAGAAAGAGAGAGAAAAAAATTAAATAAAAAAGAAAGAGAGAACACTAAATATTGTTTTAGGAGCATATTTTACTTATAATAATTATGTACGAAAAAAAAAAAAAAAAACAACGGAATGATTTTAATGTTTTTTAAATGTATAAATCAATTCTTTATTTGTTTGCTTTTTATTTTACGTTTCCTTTCATCTTATCGAATCATAATCATGAAACGAAATAAAGTAATAAATGCGTAATTAATATTAAAATTAAAATACAATAACATTTGTACTAGTTATTAAATAAAAACAACCTTTTGCATTCTTTTGTAAAATATTTCTTTCGTTTTATAAACACCCTCCTAACCTACAAAAAAATAAATCGATATCGGTGTGTGTGAATGTTTGTGTGAGTGTGTTCCTGTTAAAAAACATTTGATTTTAACGATCAGTAAAATTCAATGCACGGTTCGTTGTCCCCCCCCCCTGCCCCCGCCCACCAGGCCCATCTTCGCGTAGCTCATCCAATCCCCTCCACTCATTTCCCCGCAGCCCCTCCCCTTTACCCCTTTCCCTACTCGATTCTACTCTTACAACACTTTCTTGAATTCGAAAGTATTTTTTCTTCTGTCCCTTTTTTGCTAGTAAAGGTAGACAAAAAAAGAATTAAATATAGTATCAGGTGAGGTGGCCTTGAACGTACCTTAACAATGAATTTAGAATTCGAGGTTATGTATATATCGTATGCGATATATGTATTTATTTGTATTCTATCGTTCCTATTGGATATTCGGTAAGAATATTTTTTTTTCTCTCTCAACATGGGTCAAGGACAAATATTAAGTAAACGTTACGTTCATACAAATTGAATCTTTCACGATCATCGTTTATTGAGGATTTTTTTTTTTTTTTTGGTAACCTTGATGAATATTTATATACTTTAATTCATTAGTATTACGTTTATATGTGTATTACATGTTTTATGTGGGAAAGAAAAAAAAAGGTTCAATAACCTGAATATTTAATTTATAATGGGTGGTATACTAATGGGTGTTTCATAATATGTTGAACTTTCTTATATATTCAAGAATACACATTTATATAGAAAAATATAATTATTAATATATAATAATATATATAATTAATATAATTATTAATAATATATTAAATAAAAAAGTATTAAATTAAATAATAAATTAAATAAACGTACAAATAATAAATGTTTTAAAAATACGATCCTCCATTTTACATAACCTCTCGATGTACTTCAGAATACAAAACAGACATTAATTAAATATTAATATTTATTTAAATATTAAAATAATTTAATAAAAAATAATAATAATAATAATAATAATAATAATAAAAATAAAAAGCAAGTGACGCGCGTAAAATTTAAAATCAAACGTGTCACGTGACCGTAAAATTCAAAATGAATTCTTTCCTATATTTCGAACAAATGAATCATTTTTTATTTGCCAGTGTTAACTATTTGAATAAATATAATGGACAATAACATAAAAAGAAATAAATATCAAATCAAAGTTAGTAAATGGAAAGAAAAATTGTTAAACGCATATATGCGCCTACGCTAATCAAAGTGTTAAAACTATCGATTTTTTGTATTTTAAATTCGCGCTTATTCGTCACGTTAAATTCGTAAACAAAAAATAATCAAATAATCAATTTTTTTTTCACGCATTAATTCACGAAAAAAGAATAAATGATTCGAACACGTTCGAACAAGACAATGGTAATCTAAGAACGATAAATAAAAAAAAATAAAAAAATACGTGCTTTTTCAATAATAACCTTGAAATATCATTATTTTCAATACGTGAACACGTTTATTAATTATTGTTTCCCTCGTTTGATAATTTACAAGTGAAAAAAGAAGAAAAAAAATCGAAGAGAAATAAAATAGGTATGGGGGAGGAAGGAGGGGCAGGAGGGGATAGAGATAGAAGCATCAAAATTTAAACGTGTTGAACGTGTCGTAATTTTCAAAACAACAAAAAAAAAAAATCTACGTTGGATCGACAATATTCACGCGTACTTATTTCCGCCGTTTGATTTCTCAATTCTCAATATCGTTTGGATTACCTAACCTAAAATACTTATTTGAGAGGTTTTTGATTAGGTATAGTTGTCCTTTAGAATATTTAAATACATTTACCTTCTTATTCTAATGCTACGCAAATGTATTAACAAATAATATTTACCTGACCCCCATTTCAATTAGTTACTCAAATTATAATATATACACATATATATGTACATATATAACCTCTCTTTAACCTATATATTTTATAATATTTAATTACCTAACATTATTTTTATAATTTATATAATATTTTTAAAAAAAGATATATATATATATATATATATTTTATAATATTTTTAATATTATAAATATATTATTATAATATAATTAATAATATAATTTTTATAATATATATATATATATGTATGTATGTATATTTTTATGATGGTATTTATTTGTGTTGAAATTGTTTAATTACTTCATAATTTATTTAACTTATACTAACCTAAAAATACTTCCCTCTCTCTCTCTTTCCCCCACCCATTAACTGCAAATATAATCCAACTGAAGCATATTATACTACATATTGATCAAATTACATTGAACATTTTAGAGATTGATTCGAGTAATATATGAATAACATACAATATATACATACAATACTCAGATTCTGTACATTAATTGTGTACATATACACGAAGTAACGATAGGTTATGTTAAATGCCCTAGTTTATACGCTTTCTCTGATCTCGTAAGTATTTGAAAAAAAAAATATATATCTTTAAAAGTAAATGTATCTATTTTTATCCACTAACAAGTTTCTATGCTTATATATTATTATTACGTATACATCTATTCATATATATATATGAATATAAGTATGTATGTTGAATTTGTTAATTCTCAGTGAAAGTGGTTTTATTAATGTGTTGGAACAACTTTCTAAGAAGATCTAATTTCACTCAACGTTTAATTTCACTATGTCAAGGTTCAAAGATTTTTTTGGTTTTCTTCTTCTTATTCTTTTAGTCTTCTTTTTAAAAACTAACCTAAAATGAGAAAAATTTTCTTTCGTTTTATATATTTATGTGTTGAATTTTTATGTAAAATTATTATATTTAAATAATCATGCCAATTTTTACTCGTTATATAACAAAACAATTTACTACTTTTCTGTGTTAACTTTTCTTCTTTACGCTTTTGTTCATTTAATTATTTAATGAACAAAATATAAAAAGAAAGAAAATATGTTGTTTGATTATATTTTTTTTTAACAAAATCAAACGCAAGTACGAAATACCGCCATTTTGTTATTTACAAAAATATGTCGAAGAAATTCTAATTTTCTTTTTCTCATACATTATTAAAATTTTATTTTTAACAAAATGTCATATTTAAAGTGTTTAATATTTAATCTTATTATTTAACAATTAAATCAATTTCATTATAATTAATATTTATCAAATGTATATTTATATTGGTTTGTAATTTGACTAATATGCCGCAAGGCTAAAGAAACATGGCGTCTTCCGGCAATTTCAAATTCAAATAATACCGCGCTTGCACGTGTGTGTCGTGTGCGTGTAGGTGTATGCGTGTTCGTGCATATATGTGTTTCTAACCAATAAAAAAAAAGTCGCCATTTTTTAATTGAATTTTCTTCCGTGTATATTGTTTAAGAAAATAATCACATTTTCTTTTTAAAATAAATAATTTCAAATTGTGTATAACGCAACTTTAATCGATTAATCGAATGATATCGATATTCGAGATTGCGATTACGTTTCTCGTGACGAAACGATAACTTCATTCGTATAGTCGATTTATTCGAGCATACAGCTGTTCGATATTAAACGCAACGTAATTTTACAAGTATTATTTACTATAAACAATAATAATAATAATAATAATAAATAATATGACGTATATTACGAGTAAATCTATATAATGTGTTTTATTTTTAATTACAATTAATATTGTTCAATACGAGGAATTTAAAAAAAAAGAAACGTGAAGAAAAATGAGTTGAGCAAAAGTGAGGTTATTTTTCTTCAATCAAAGGTTTGTAAAAAATAACTTTTTATTTGAATTAATAAATATCGTTAAATAATAAATTATTGATGTAATTTTGATCTTTTCATCTGTCATTTGCAGGATAACATTGTTAAACTTATAAATTTTGTAATACGCATAAAAATATATATACATATATATATATATATATATATATACAAAATACTCATATAGAATAGAAAAAAAACTCTATCAACATGTCAAGTTATAATAATAAATCAACAATACCACCAAGATGGCTTAATTGTCCAAGAAAAGCTATCAGATTGATAGGAAATAAATTCTTAGCGTTTAAAACACCATTATCATCTGCGTTCAATGACCAAGTACCGGAAGAATGTCGGTTCACAATAGACATGCTTTTTTCTTCTCTGAGAAGTGAAAAAATTAAGCTCGGTTTATGGATTGATTTAACCAACACAACAAGATTCTACGATAAGAAGAATTTGGAAGCTCACGGTTGTAAATATTTGAAAATACAATGCAGAGGACACGACGAAAGTCCGTCCAATGAACAAACTAATTTCTTCATACACATTTGTAAACAATTCATATCTCAAAATCCATTGGATGTAATAGGCGTTCATTGTACTCACGGTTTCAATAGAACTGGATTTTTAATAGTCAGTTATCTGGTGGAAATTGATAGCATCAGCGTTGATGCAGGTTTGGCTGAATTTGCAGCAGCTCGACCACCAGGTATTTACAAAGCTGATTATATCAAAGAATTGTATAAACGATATGATGACGAAGAAGATGCACCTGATCCACCACCAAGACCAGCTTGGTGTTTAGAATATGATGATTCTAACGTGGAAGATACTGACGAAGGACCAAGTGTGGATAATAATACAATTGAAGGGGAATCCAAAAGAAAAAAAAGGGAACATCATAACAAAAATCCTGTATTTATGGCTGGCGTATCGGGAGTAACACCAATCTTGGATCAAAAGAAATCATCTGGTATACAAAAGTGTGTTCAAGAAATTTGTTCTTGGACGTTGTCAGGATTTCCAGGTTCTCAACCGGTTTCAATGGATTTAGAAAATATTAGGTTATTACATGAAAAACCTTACAGGGTATCGTGGAAAGCTGATGGAACTAGGTTCGTCGCTGAATATTTATTTTATTAAATATATTTTCTTAACCTAAAAACTTATTTATTGTATTTGTTTAGGTATATGATGTTAATACAAGCCAACCGAGAAGTATACTTCATAGATAGAGATAATAGTGTTTTCCAAGTGGATGGTTTAACTTTTCCACATCCCAGAGATTTATCCAAATGTCTTAAAGATACACTTTTAGATGGTGTAAGATATTTTTCTATTATACAGCATGAAACACACATCTAACTTTTGATTATTTCTAATAACTTATTTGTTTTTTCGTATGATACTTAAAAAAGTTAATAGAAATAATCAAAAGTTAGGTTATCTCACTGATAATTCTACTGTATTTGTATATTATTTAAATGTTATGTTATATACAGCACGAAACACTTAACTTTTGTATATTTCTAATAACTTATTTATTTTTCTTTCTAATGGTATTTATAAAAGTTACCAAAATTAATAGAAATAATCAAAAGTTAGGTTAACTCGTTAATAATGCTATATTATTTTATATTATTATTATATTATTATTATATTTTATAGGAAATGGTAATCGACAAGGTATGCGATAAAGAATATGCAAGGTATTTAGCATACGATATAGTTATGTTCGATGGTAAGGATGTTAGCAAATTACCATTCCATCCTGATCGATATGAAATTATTGAAAAAGAAGTAATCAAAAGTAGGCATAGAGCATTAATGGAAGGAAGAATAAGAAGAGAACGAGAACCATTTTCAATTAGATTAAAACACTTTTGGGATGTTGTACAAGCTGCTAATTTACTTAGCGACAAATTTGCCAAGAATTTGTCACACGAACCAGACGGATTAATATTTCAACCATCAAAAGAACCATATCGTCCGGGACCATGTCCAGAAGTTTTAAAGTGGAAACCATTGTCATTGAATTCAGTTGATTTCAAATTAAAAATTGTCACTGAAACAGGAGTTGGAATACTTCCACGTAAAGTTGGTCATCTTTTTGTTGGTGGTTTGGATGTACCTTATAGTCAAATGAAAATTACTAAACAAATAAAGGATTTAAATAATGCCATTATAGAATGTAAATTAGAAAATGGTCAATGGGTTTTTATGCGAACCAGAACTGATAAATCATTTCCCAATTCTAAGCGTACAGCTGATGCTGTATTCGAAAGTATTAGAAGACCTGTTAAAACGTCCTATCTTTTGGAATATATTGAGAAACATAAATTTTTGGAAGATGATTCGGATCTTATGCCACCACCTAAAATCAGATCTAAATTAGATTAATGATTTGTTATTAAATTTAATGGAATTAATCGATAATCGTTTTACCAACATTACAAATGTGTATTCCTACTTTTGAAATGAAGTAATTAATTAGCATAATTGCAATGTCAACTTTACATATTTGAGAGATATAAAAGAAGAAGAAAAAAAAAAAAATGAAAAACATTCAACATTAATTTTTTGAGAACGGACGTGTTCCTCGTTTTAAGAAAAAAAAAAAAAAAAAAAGAAAATGGCCAACAATTATGTTTCTAACTTTTAAATTATATTACCTTTTTATTTCATAATTTATATAAATCAATGACATAAGATTTCTTATTGTAGATAATAATAATAATAATAATAAAACAAAATAATTATTTTAACCGTGTGCTTTGTTTTTTTTTTAGATTTTTTTTTCTTTGCATGATAGCCGTGACAAAAATGCTGATCAATGACACTCTCGTCCGTACTCCAATAGTTCAAAATTGTTTATAGTTATATATTTTGTTTTGTATATTATATACCCCCATTGTATATTCAGAATCATCCTACGCTGAATAAATAAAAAAAAATCTTTTATATAAAACACTGTATATATGTTTTTCTTTCTTACCTTTTTTATACACTCCCCCTCACCCTTTTTTTACAATATTACAACGCTAATTTGATTCAATTCAAATTTTGTGTGTGTGTTAATATATATATATATATATAAACTATTATATTTTAAAAATATACGTTGAAATGTCAAAACAATGTTTGTAAGAATACAGAAATGTTTGTAAAAAAAAATAATCAACAAAACATCCGTAAATCTAGTGTTAATTATTTGGAACGAGTATATAGTATAAAATAAAAAATGTGTAAAATTAATAAATGTATAAAATTATTATCATTATAATATTTGGTTCATTTTTCAGATGCTGTGTTTATATGGTGTACTAAAAATTTGGCATCAAAAGCACGTAAATCACTACGCATTAATTTAGAATACGATTATGCTATTATGATAAGATGGTCACCTGATGGAAAAGCATTTATTGTACATAAAGCTGTACAAAATATTATAGAGGTTTATAAAGTTACTAAAAAAATGGACGGTTTTATAGCATCGGCAACTAAAGTTCTTGAATTTCCACAGGTATATAATATAATTTACTGATTAAAATATTATTCAATATTTTCTAATAAAAAGAAATCTCATATTGATGATTATTTTATTAATAATTATATAAATTAATTGTTTAAATTTATAATTATTTAATATATATTTATTATAGAAACATATTGCAAATCCTGTTGGTTTGGATATAGCTTGTACCGGTCGTTACATAATTAGTTGTAGTGAAGAAAATGATTTAATAATATGGGATTTAAAAGGTCAACCTCTTACAACGATAGAACTGAAATTGGGATCAACTCATAGAGCACGTATATCACCTTGTGGACGTTTTGTAACAACATCAGGTTTTTAACAATATTTTTATATTATTAAATGAAAATACTAAGATCCAATTGTAACTTCAATTATATGTGTTATAGGATTTACACCTGATGTTAATGTATGGGAAGTAGTGTTCAGTAAATCTGGAGAATTCAAACAGGTGTCAAAAGCTTTTGATCTTACTGGACATTCTTCTGGAGTTTATGATGTCAACTATAACGCTGATACAAGTCGTATGGCTACGTTATCCAAAGATGGAACATATCGTTATTATAATACCAAAAGTAATCTAATGATATATATACATTATTTATATTATATTGGATTATTAATTTATTAATTTAATGTTTTAGTTGAGTTTGAAAAAGGAGAAGATCCACACGTACTTATAACAGGTGTATGGGACGTTACTACACCAGCTAATATCGCAGTTTCACCTAACGGTGAAGTTTTGGTAATAACGCATGGTTCATCTCTTAGCTTTTATAATACCATTACTGGTTCATTGGACAATACTATTAAAGATATTTTTTCTAGTAAGTATATATCATAAATATACATTCGTATATAAATGAACTATTTATTTAGAAAGTGGCCTAACTCTATTTATGTTTTTAAAAGGTTTGCATTTCAATGCAATTCAAAATATACGTACAGGATACTAACGAGTTATACTGCTAAGGATGTTAAATTTACAGTTCCTATTAAAATAGTAGCAATTATTAAGTGAATAATAAACTTCAGAATGAAAAGATCATGTAAAAATGTAACTATTACAGTAGCTAACTTGATTTTTTTGGAAAATGGCGTTAGGTCATTTTTAAAATAAACTTTTTCATCGTTTCATTAATCTACAAATTTTCGTGTTACAAAATTCGATTGATTTGAAATATATTAGTAACAAATTACTTCATAATGAAAAGATCATGTAAAAATGTAACTATTACAGTAGCTAACTTGATTTTTTTTTAAAATGGCGTTAGGCCATTTTTTTACATTGTTAATCAATAATTAACTATAATCATTATAATCGTATTGAAAATCTTAATATATATTAGGTGGACCGGAAAGTAATGTTGCTTTTCTAACCTTAAATTCAAAAGAATAAATTTTGAAACAAATTTTGATTTTTAATCAATCCTTGTTATCAAAAAGAAAAAACCCCTTTTTCATTAAATAATGCAAATTTTTAATACAATATTGATAAAAATTAATCAGTTTTTAATTAAATTTAATTTGAATTAAATTAATAATACAGAAATTGATATGCGTAGTATACGCCATTACTTATGGCGGTCCCCCTAATATTTAATTTTGAATAAATATACATATATATATTTTTTACAGATCCCATAACTTGTGTTGCTTTTGATGCATTGGGTGAATACGTTTTGGTTTCTGGTGATAAACATATAAAAATATTTCGCAATGTAACCGGTTATCGTGCAGCCATAACATCTGCCAAATGTAAACTAAAGCAGAGACAAACTTCAGCTACTAAAGAACGTTTGGAAAAAATAATAACCGATTCTAAACAATTTTTACAAGAGATGGGAGAAGAATGTTCCGAATGACACCCCCTCCCCAATGTTTATTATTATTATTATTTGCAAAATGTTTCTGTTCCTATAACTGAAATGTTTTATATCTTCTTATAAATATTCTCTATGCAAATGGAAAAACAAAAAAAAAAAAAACAAAAAAAAATTGTTTATACCATAATTTTTCATGTATTAAAATAAAAATACAATTATACAAATTTATATTCTAAAAAAAAAAAAAAAAAGAAAAGAATTTTTATCTCATCATCCTTCTTGTTTATGTTAAAAACAATTTATTATCTATTTAATATTAAATATATCATAATTTTATAAAAAGAAATTCTATTAAGAATTCTATAGAAATATTTAATATCTAAAGATTTTTTCAATTTATGCATCACACACTATGAAGAACTATGCATTATAATTATGATCATGACAACAAATATATACATATGAATCTAAAAAAAAAAGAAGAAAAAAAAAAGAGGAATTAATAAATATAACATTTAACAGACAATATAATAATCACAGACAAATATGAATAGGATTGTAGACATGAAGTATTTTTTTCTTCGTATTTCTTAACACAAGAAGTCTGCGTGATGCAACTAATGCAAGTGTTGCTTGATGTTCACTTCTTAAAATTTGATAATTTGCTCTCAAACTGATGCGTCTTAAATTACTTGGTGGAACAGGTCGACCACCAGCGAATGCAAATCTGTAATCGTATTGTATTCAAATTATTATAAAATTATTTATAATTTTGTTTCGTTTTTATTTTTTAATATATTTATAAACCTTATTTCTTTTCTGGGTCCTTTCAAAGTAGAATCTGGAAAAGCTGATTGTCTGTCCCACAATATTTTAGTATTAACTGGTCTTACTTTAGCATATTTAATTTTACTTTTTATAATAATTGGAAGTGTTGGTGTTTTTCTATATTCACTTGTATCATTGTCATATTTAACAGGTAAATATGGTAACAAAGAATCACCATAATGTTCAATAATACTTGTCAAATCCAAACCATGTGCACCAGATTTTAACAAAGCGCAAACTGCCAACTGTAATCACAATATTATTCGTATAAATTTTCTATTAAATATATTAAATATATTACAAAATTATAAATGTTAATATGAATGAATATATTAAGGGTATCGCGCATGCGCGAAAAGTAATGTCGTAAACTACGCATGTCAATTTCAATGCTATAAATTCAATTTAAATTAAATTTAATTAAAAATCGGCATTAAAATTTGCATTACTAAATTAAAAAGGTTATGTTGATAACAAGGATTGATTACGTTATTGATTAAAAATAAGAATTTGTTCAAAATTGATTCTTTTAAATTGAAGGTTAGAAAAGTGACATTATTTTCAAATCCACTTAATACTTACTGCCAAGCATTGCCAAATAACGGAACCAGGTGGTGCATATTTTAAAATATTATCTATAAAAATTGGTGTATCTTTATCAGATTGAAAAAAGATTAATGGTTGTACGCTTGCTAATAATTCTCTGGCCATTGTTCTTTTTTTAATTACTTCATTATCCTCTTTCTCATCTCTGACAAGTATATCTTCCAATATAGGAATGTATCTGTAATTTTAATATTTTTATTATTAACAATATACACAAGTTATCTTGAAAAATAACTGGCCTAAATTTTTAATTGAAGATCAAATATAAAAAAATTTTTTATTTTCATTTGTTAAGTATAACCTTTCATAATTTAGCCGGTCAATCACACAAGAAATACCTGATATATATATGTGTGTAACATATATATGCTACTTTATTTATAGTATAGTATTATAAATACTATGTTACACATATAGTATTATATATAGTAATACTATACTATACACATATAGTAATATATATATATATATACAATAACGTAAATATATGTTACTAATATTATTAAATATGTTATATTATTTATAATATAAATAATATAAAATATATATATATATATATTTTTTAATTTATTTAATAATTAATATAATTACTTATTAGCAATGGATGACCAACGAAGCATCAGTTTTAATACACATTCCTTAAATAGTACTTCCAAATTAGGATTTATAAAACTTTGTCCAAGAAGTAATTCTAATAACAATTCGGTTAATTTATCTACCTGAAATATTTCATCAATGTTAAAATAATGCAATAATTAAATTATAAATGTAACAATAGGTTGTAATTTATAAAATTTGAAATAATACCGTTGTTAAGTAATATGGATAAACAGCATCGCTGTTACTGGCAATAGCAATAATAAGTTGACATGTACGAATTGATACTCGAGTATATTGAGCGTTGTTAGAAATGACCATTGATCTAGCAATTGACATCAATCTATCTATGACACCTTCTGCACCTAAATGTGGATTGTTCGCACAATCGTTGACCAATACCTATATGTCATAAAAAATGAAGTTTTTTATTATTTACAATAATATGTAAATCAAATATTTTACCTGAAAAGTTTTCTGGGAACCATTGAACAATGTTTTTAAAGCACGTTTAGCATAATGGTAACGAGCCTCCGTTAATCTTACATCGCATACTTCCATCTCTAAAATAATATATATATAAGATGTATTTTTAGGTTAAGTGTATTAACAAAATATTACCTTGAATGAAAGATACGTTGTCTTGGGATACATTAATAGCTTCGTTAACTTTATCAACCAAGTTAATGATACGTTCATTTGGAACAAATACTTTAGCTTCTGAATGATATTCTGGCATCATATCGGGTGGTCCTAAAACAGGATCTACGCTGCACAAACTTGTAAGTACTGCATTTAAATCGTTTGATGTTAAACATTTTCTTCTACTGTGTTTCAATCTTGTAATACATTTCTAAAATAAAAATGAAATATAAGTTATTGATATTAGTAGAAAATAAATAATGAAAATAAATATGTATTATGTATTACATACGTGTAAAATTTCTCTTAACCTATAAGAAGCATCTTCTGCTAATCTTCGTAAAATAGAATCTGGCAAAGGATGCATTCCTAATTCTTCTCCAATTGCAGAAATCCATTCTGTACTAAGCATAGCATATCTTCTAGTATTATTATCATTCGTCATACTGTTAACACTAGTTTCTCCATTATTACCGACAAATGAATTATTATAATTTGATACATTTTGATTTGGTAATATTTCCTTCATTATTTATTCAAACTTTTCTCTATTCGAATATCACTGTAAAACGTATATGATTATAGTAATCAATGTAGAAAAAGAATTAAAAACATAACATGCCAGTACATCGAATAAACTAACCTTAACTGTCAATTTATAAACTTGTGTTAGGTAGATTGAGGCCTGCCATCTGTCTGTTAAATTGTGAAACACGTGTTAGATCGAGGCCTGCCATCTGTCTGTTAAATTGTGAAACACGTGTTAGATCGAGGCCTGCCATCTGTCTGTTAAATTGTGAAACACGTGTAAGATCATTTTTTGAATAACTTTAATATGTTTACGATACTTTTTTATTTTCTTCGTTCATTATAAATTAAAATTTTCGGGTGGGAACCTTGGAATTAAATTAAGAATTTAATTAAATTAAGAAAATGTAAATTTCTTTCTTATTATACTTAATTTTCGATAGATTTAATATTATTATTCATAAAATGACTGACGTGGCACAACGCACATTAATTATTTTTTAATAGCTAATACGAAAATCAATTTAATGTTCATTAAATTGTTTTCTCTTTTTATCTTTCTTTTCTAATTTACATAACAAAACTTATTTATAAAATTATTATTTCCTAATAAGAATAGGAAATATTTTCGTATTTATTTTTAAGAAGGTTACATCATAAATTTTATAATTGTTTTTCTATTCGATTTTTGTTATTTTCGATGATAAATGACAACTAATGATGACGACAGTCCGACCATTATGACTCACAATTATACGTCAAAGATAAACATTAGATATTTTTCAAAACAAACGTTAAATTAAATATAACACAATTTATCAAACAATCGTCTCGTATCAAAATATCTTTTATCTATCATTAAAAATCAGATAAAAATAACAACCGTAAAAATGAATGGCGTAAATTGTAAGAAAAGAACATTTAAAAATAAATCTTTTGAAAACATTTCAAAGATGTTGATTCAATAAAATAATTGTGCAAGACTAAATAATTTTAAAACAAAACTTGATCGATTTTTCTAGATGTTTATGTTGTCCAATCGATAAAACAGTTTCATCGAAATAAATGTTTTCGAAATAATACAACAGTTGTCGCTGCAATCAAGTGGAAGACATCTTGTTATCTTTGTCTGACTCATGACAAAACCCATATTTTGTTCTTGTTCAACGTATATAAACGCTTGGTAAAAGTTAAATAGCCAATAAGAATTTAGAACGAGATATACGCACAGAAATATCACTGACGTGTCCCCGTAAAGAAGCGCTTCTTCAGCGATTCATGATCATTCTTTATTCGTATAAAATTACGAGAACTTACGACGACAGTAATCAGTGTAGTTGTATCAAATATAAGAGTGACTTGTATAAAAAGAAAAAAACAATTAAAAGATTAAATTATGGCGGCGATATTCAATACTTTCGTTAATTCATTCAGCAACAGATTGTAAGTATAACGTTCAAGAAAATCAGACATTATTCTGATTCACCTTAATATGCAATATATAATATACATATATATATATATATATATATATATATTTATATACATATTTTATGATATACAAAATACGACCTTATTAACAATTATTATTAATTTATAAATAAATTAATAATAATATATATATAATTCTACAGCATATTCCATTTTTTTTTCTTGTCAACATATAGTTAGGATGATGTAAGCATTTTTTTGTGTTTTCCTTTTTGTCTGTCTATCTATTCCCCTCCCAAATGCTAATTATAATATATATCTATAATCGTTATTACATTCTACGCATTTAGAAATATATTTGTTATAATACGATATATATATATATATGTATACATATATATATATATATGTACAGTCCCAATATCTTATCTTAATCTTCTTACATTTATCTATTCTTCTACTTGCAATAATATTTGATATGCTAAAAATATCTTTTCAATTCCGTTGACTTTTCAAAATCATATTAATATGCTATACATATTGTTATTCCTTATATAAAAATATATAAATATTACTTTGCCCTATTTGTTTGTGTTATTTAGTTTTAATAATAATAATAGTAATAATAATAATAATAATAATAATAATAATAAACATGCGTTACACGTACAGAGAATTCCAAGCATACATAACACACATAATTACACATATAAACACACATACATTTTTATCTATGATATATAAACACGTTATCTTTATTTTTATTTTATAGGGATGAACCTGTCAGAAAACATTTAAAAAATGTTTACGGTTGTTTGTCCATGTCAACGGTATCAGCAGCTGTAGGAGCTTACGTGCATATGTACACGCAAATCTTACAAGCTAATTTACTTACCAGTTTGGCTACCATTGGTTTATTATTCGCATTGATTAGTGTACCGGACAATGGAAAAAATCATAAACTACGTCTTGGCTATTTATTGGGATTTGCATTTCTATCTGGATTAGGACTTGGACCTTTACTTGAAATGGTCATCAATATTGATCCTTCCATCGTAGTCACCGCTTTACTTGGTCGGTATAAAAAATAAGTAACAACATAACCTATAAAAATATCAATTACAAATGCACATTGATGGATGCCATTTGATGATTGTTTATGATTATAAGTAACATTGTATGAATTGTATTTGTGTATTTACAGGTACCACCCTTTTGTTTGTATCGTTCAGTATTTCTGCACTTTTGTCTGAACGAGGACATTGGTTATATCTAGGCGGTATAATATTCAGCATGCTAAATATTATGGTTATGACATTCTTCGTCAATATCTTCTTACAATCTCAGTTTATTTACCAAGCTCATCTTTATATTGGATTTTTCTTAATGTGCGCTTTCATCATTTATGATACGCAATTGATCATTGAGAAACATCACATGGGTAACAAAGATTTCATAGCGCATTCTTTGGATTTATTCATGGATTTCATCAGCGTATTCCGTCACTTGCTTGTGATTTTAGCGCAAAAGGTAAATAATATTATATATTTCGTATATACAAATAATTCTGATCAATATTACAATTCTTCTATTTTTTTTTTTTTTTTTAGGAAATTTCTAAAGAACAACAGCGTAAACGTAAAGATTAAAAAAAAAAAAAAACAATAAAAAAAAAAAAAGAAAGAAAAGAAGTAAACATTAAGAAGAATCGAAGAGAGTTTTAACAAGTGCAAAAAAAAACATCATTGCATACCAAGTAAAAATCCATAAATCCTAGAGGTCTTCATCCAAAAATACAAACAAACAAAACCCATAATATATATATATATATATATATATACACCATAGATTTTATACTATTGGATAAATTGCTAAACGTTTTCCTTATCTACATGTTTTTTTCTTTTTTCATTCTTCTCTCTTTTTATTTACTAACAATCATAAAAATCGAAACGATACTAATCCAGTGATACACCATTTATATATGACTCTTATTTTTTTTTTATTTATTATTCAAAAAAAAAAAATTAAACGTTGTTCAAACCTTGTTTCAAAAAAAAAAAAATATATATATATATATGTATATTTTATAAATTTCAAATATTCCAAACATATATTAATAGACAAATTTTCAAGAGGACCACTTTTATCGGGAATTATCAAAAAAACAAAAAAAAAACTGTCATAATCAAAAAAAAAATTCATTATGTGCATTATCATTATTATGTGTGTGTTGCACATTATTGCGCTTGGAATGGGTGGTGGGAGGTTAGGTGTCCTACTAACGGTTCTTTAACAACTTACAAGCGCACTGTTTATCTAACTTTCTTTTTCCAACGTGCTGTAGAAAGTTAGAATTCTAAAAATAGAAACTTGTATACTATTTCTCTCTTATTTTTTTTTTTTTTTTAATTCTATATATATATATATATATATATATGTATGTATGGATATTATAATAATTTCAATATTAATAGGATTGGGAAAAGCATATTCATTGGTATAAGATCTATGATAGATAAAAAATATTTACATACATGACACTTTACCCATACACACATTTTACATACATTACACACAACTCACACACACACATATATATATATATATATAGTTCATAATTAAACAACAACAAAATAAACTATATTATATATATATATATATTTACTATAAAGAGCAAAAGTTATAAATGATTAGTGCTCGTTTAATACTTTGAAGAACTTAGAGAAATGTTATATTAACCGGTAAACGGTAAAAACAACAAATGTAATTACTTTGGGTCGTCGATATTATCACTTCCTTCTATGAATTATACCATTTTCTGTATTTAGATTTATACAAGGATATGTAAATGCATATATAAATTTATTGTATATTTTTAACTTTCAATAAACAAATTTTCCGAGTTTTCATTTATCGTTTTTTTTTTTTTTCATTTATATATTTTTTAATATTAAGTTGACTAGAAAGTAATCGCGCTTTCTAACCTTAAATTCAAACGAATAAATATTAAACAAATTTTGATTTTTAATCAATAACGTAATTAACCATTGTTATCAACAAAACCTTTTTGTTTTAATATGCAAAATTTTTAATATCAAATTAATCGGTTTTTGATAAAAAAATATAAAAAAAATTGGACATTTGTAGAAACAACATTACTTAATATATATATATATATATATATATATATTTAAATCTTTTAGATATCAAAAGTTCATTATAATAATTTTTCAAAAACCACAAAATACAAATTTAAAGTGCATTAATTAATATGTAATTAATGTAGTAGAGGCATTACCATACAGAAATATACAGTGTGTCATGAAAAATAATGCTTGTTAATAACTTTAAAGATTAAATTTATCATCGTATGAGTAACCAATAATCTACAATTAATCTTACACTTTTATACTTTAATCTTAAAAGTTTTGAAATTTTTTTTTTTTATAATAACATTCTAATGTTCAAAATTTTATCATTACAGAGTGTTTAGAAATTAATTATAATATCATTAAACAAAAATTTATTTTGACTAGTCTTCCAAAGTATAAAATAATAATATGCATATATATATATATATAGATGTGAATTAGTTAAAAATAGAAGATATTTAACTGCATATATTTTTTTTATATACTTTATTTTTGTTTTGTTGTTTTGTTTTTTTTTTTTAATATTTACTAGACTAATGTCTTATTTATTAAAAGTTAACTTTACATGGAAGGTTATTATTTATTTGCATGAAATGTAAAACGTAGATTGATGTGTTAGCCTCATCACATAATCCTAAATCCTCTTCTTCTTCTTTTTCTTCTTTAGTGAATATAAAAACTATGTGATAAAACTAAATGATAATGACATTACTTCGTCGTCATGATAATTCCTTTTTTTTGTTTCTCGAGAAATAATGTACATGAACTCATTAAGAGCACGTACAAAATATTTATTTAATGTGTATATAATCCTGGTATGTAAATGAATGAGTATGTGTATGTATTTGTGTGTATGAGAGGAGTTGTATTTTTATGTATTTATGTATCATTAGATTGTTGTTATTAAAAACAATGCATTTTAAATTGTTTAAATGAATACAAATTTAATAAGGTCGTTGACGGTCTCTGTCTCTATCCCCACGTCTGAAAATAAAATACAAAATTTATTTTAATATAATAATATATACAATTGTATCATAATAACATTTAAAATAATTTAAAATAATATTAACATACCCGCCAGCTCCTCTCATTGGTCCACCACGTCCACCACCTCTACCTCTGTCACCACCGCGGAATCCACCACCTCTTCCACCTCTATCTCCTCCTCTGCCACCACCCCTGTCACTTCGGAATCCACCACGGCTTCCTCTATCACCTCCTCCACGTCCTCCACCTCCTCTTCCGCCGCCACCTCCGCCTCCACCGCCGCCACCACCTCCGCTACCAGCGCCTTCCGGTTTTGAACTTTTACACAGATTGCAGTGATCTCGCCATGCGAAGTTTGTGTTACCGCAATCTGGGTTTGGACACCTACAAAAAATTACACGACAATTATATTATTATTATTAATCTTGTTTTGTTATTAATCTATTATTATAAATATTTATTTATTTATTTATTTATTTAATCAGTTAACCTGTTAACCGGGGAATTCCCTTTTTAATTACGTAGCTTTTTTTATTATTTATTTATTTTATACATATTTATTTATTATTTATTATTATTTATGCAATATACAAATTTCAAGATGAGTTAGAAGAGTTTCAAGATTTGTAAATTACACTATTATTTTATTTTTTTATTATTTAATTAATTTTAACTTTAAAATCAGCAATTTGAATCTTGATTTGTCATTGGTCAATTTACACGAATCACAGCAGCGCGCGCACTTTTAAAATGGAGCGACATAGTTAACTAATTAATATATACACAATATTATTTATTAAATTATTATTATTATAAATAAATTATGCATATATTAATTATTATTGATATTAATTATATTTTTTATCCTAGTTAAAAGATTAATTATTCTTTTTATTTTTTAATTCATTTTAATCTCGACTTGTCATTGGTCAATTTACGCGACACACAGCAGCGCGCGAACTTTCAAAATGGAGTGCCACAGTTAACTGATTAATATAATATATATAATATTATTTATTAAATTATTATTATTATTATTATAGATAATTAATACGTATATATATTAATTATATTTTTTGTTAAAAGATTAATTATATTAATTTGTAATATTAATAGATAAAAACAAAAACATACCTCCAATCACCGCCACGTCCTCCTCCATCACGACGATCGTCACCACCGCCACCACCACCACCACCTCCACGATAATGGTCATCTCTATCACCCCCACCTCCTCGTCCACCAAATCCACCACCTCCTCGTCCTCTGCCACCGCTTCCACGACCACCACTGCTTCGATTACCTTGCCAACTACTTTTATGCTGTGCTATTTGTACTTTAATTTTACAACCCTTGAAATCCTTGCCGTCGAACCATTTTATGGCTGAGAGTGCAGCATTTTGATCGTCATAAGTTACTGTTGCTTCTCCTTTAGATTTTCCAGTATTTTTGTCTTTGTACATCCACACTTTTGCTTTGCCAGTGCGTTTGTCATGCTACAAATAACAAATGTTTAATTAAATTATTATATATTGAAATCATCATACAAATTATTAACCCTTTGCACTTCGAGTAATTTTTAACACGAAGTTTCAGCAACTCTGGGTCATTTTGATCATGACCATTTTCAATTTTCGTTTTTTCCCTAGATGACGGCATGCCGTGTCGCCGCAGCGGCGACAACGAAGTGCAAAGGGTTAATATTAGATTGTAATTATATCTTTTAAATGTAGATTTACTTTAATTAGCCCAATAGCTCCGAAATGTTCACAAATTTCGTCTTCTGAAATAGATGGATCCATTCCAGACACGAAAATGGTATCTTCTTGCACGACCATTCCATCACCGCCACTGTTACGGTCACCGTAGCCCCCTGGAACGTAAATAAAATTAAAATCTGCTCCAATAAATATTCTTAAGTGTAAAAGGTAATATTATCGACTCTACTTGGCCCTAAATCTACTACTCAATTCTAATCTAATAATAATAATAATAAATAATAAATAATAATAATAAATAGTAATAAATAATAATAATAATAAAAATAATAATTAATAATAGTGTCGTATCTTTATCCAAAATTAAAGATAGAAATTTATTTCTCCGTTGTGTTTTTTTTTTCTTATTTATTTTTATCTTCTCTTTCTTTTTTTTATTTTTTTATTTTTTTTTTAAATAAACCACAAGACAGGAATTGTTAAATTCAATTAATTATTATTATGATAAATGATATGTGATCATTTTTTTCTACCAATAACTCTCTTTTTGTTTATATTATTCTGAACTAGTCAAATCAATGATTAACGTGCAAATGTTTTTATATATTCATCAATCATTTTTGTCTAATTATAAATAATAGATATAATAATAATAAACATAATAATATAATAATAATAATAATAAATATAATGGTAATAATAATTGTTTTTAAAAACCACTTTCCAAGCATGCATTTGTTTTCCCTTATATATCTCAATTAATGCGTGTGAACACTATTATATATACATATATATAATATTAATGCTTCGCAATTGTGGGATTTAGAAAATTGCACCTCAAATTTTTCTTATTTTTTATCTTGTACGCTTATATATAACCTCACTTTTATCAACTAACTATGTGCAAAGAATAAATAGCATTAATATATATATGCCTCTTTTCTCTCTATAAATAATAATAATAATAATAACAATAATAATAACCATAATAATAATAACAATAATAATAATTAATAATAATAATAATAATAATAATAATAATAATAATATTAACAAGCAGCATTGCCATCTGTTTATTAATTAAACACCTGTAAAGTATTTACTATGTTATTCGATAGATAATTTTGAATTTCTACCAATCATAGATATTATAATTATTAACTTAATGTGCTGTCGGTGTTAGACGCCGCCATTTTCTTTTGTTTTTCTCTTTTTTTTTACACACAGAGGCACCAGATTTATTTAAAAAAATAAAAAAAAAAAATAAAATAATAATGTATTACGAAAATCTCTTTTTCCAATGGGTTGTAAAGATTAAAAAAGAAAAATCAATAAAAGAAAAGAAAAAATAAATAAATAAATTAAATAATGAATCATACACATGTAAATCTTCTAAATATAAATAAATTTCTTTCTCTCTTTTGTAATAAAAACTTTTTCGGAGAAATATTAGACCATATAAAACGGAGTTTATGATTTTTCGTGAACACTTTTTCGCTTTCATGCACCCTTCCAAAAAAAAAAATTATATTTCTTTCTTTCTTTTTTTTTTTTAAGTATTTTCGCTAACGACACAAACGCAAGTTCCTGTATTGCGATTTTTCATTATCTCTTTTTATATATATATATATATGTATGTGTATATATATGTAATATATATATATATATTTTTTCTTTTCAACTTTTACTTTTGTTGAAATAATATTATTACAAATATATATTCTTAAAAACCTCTCTTTTTTTTTTTCACAGCACATAAGTTTTACTTTTTACTTTTTTTTTTTGTTTCTTGTAGATATGAGAATACTTTCTCGTTTCCACAGATCCATCTCTTCATATACCAAATAATTATACTAATATAATACTCTCTGAACCCTAAAAACCCTTATCAGTTGTATAATAAGTATTGTAAGTAACACAAGGTTGCAGCTTAACATATAAAAGGGCTGCAAAACATTATATTTTCTTTCTTTTTTTATCACCCTTCAACAACAAACCTGTCCTGCAACATCCTTTTCTAACAAAATTCAATTATTTCTGTAATATTATTACTATTATTATTATTATTATTATTATTATTATTATTATTATTATTATTTAAATCAGTTGCACCAATTGCATTTTGTACTTATCTTTTAATGAAAGTATCTCAATAATATTCAAATTATGCAAGTATACGTTTAGATAATATTTATCGTTGACGTATACAATTTTATCAAAATGAATTATATGAAGAAAAATTACGAAGTGTATTGTATAATTATTCATTAAATTGAATTTTTAGATGTTGTGTACGACTATAGTGGCTTTAGTGATATTGGAAGTACAGAACATTTGAAAAGTATTCGATTATAATGAACAGTATGACAGATTAAGCAGATAATAATAATCTAAGTTTATTATTACCTTAAGATTATTATTATTAAAATAATCATAATCTATGTTTTATCGAAATAAATTATATAAAAGAAAATTACAAAGCTGAATAATTATTCATTAAATTAACTTTTTTGCTGTTGTGTACGACTATAGTAGCTTTAGTGATATTGGAAGTACAGAACAATACAAAAGTTTTCGATTATAATGAACAGTATGACAGGTTAAGCAGATAATAACCTAAGTTTTATCAAAATGAATTATATGAAAGAAAAATTACAAAGTGTACTGTATAATTATTCATTAAATTAACTTCTTAGATAATTTTTTAAGATAAATAAAATAAATTAAAGCAACAAAAAGCAATTGGTGATTGAAATTACTTTGCATTACCACAGGAGTGTCACATATTTTTCTTCATGATTAATAAATATTGAAATATATGTTTATACATGTACATATATATATATGTATATAATGTATATGAGGATAATATACATATATAAATATATATATGTATATGAACCTAACAATGTTGCAGAGCAGCCCTTTCATATAAGTAACCGAGTATTTAGATATTGTAAATATTAGAGTGAAAGCGTGAATAGCACCAGACTAGTACAGACAGTCTGGTGCATTTACCTTTGTTATAACCACCACGGCCACCGCCACTGCTAAAACACAGAAGCAGATATACCAATGAGTCGACTCATGGACAGACTGATTGATCAATCGATGCATGGCGAATCAAATGTTGTGCTCGCCATCTTTCTTCTTGATGTACCTACTGTCTAAATGTCTGTAGTCACCATATTATTTTTCTTTTTTTTTTTTTTTTTTTTTTAAACAGCTAATAATAATAATAATACCAATAATAATAATAATAATAATGATAATAAAAATAAAAACAAAAACAAAAAAAACAATAATAATAATAATAATAATAATAATAATAATAATTATATATTGTAAATGTTACGTCTGTCAGTCATGTCATACACACAGAAAAAGAGATAGATAGATAGGATAGATAGAAAGTGAGAGAGAGAGAAAGAGAGAGAGAGAAAGAAAGAGAGAGATAGAGATAGAAAAAGATAAATAGTAATAGATATACAACAAATATCTTTTACACAATCAAATAATGTTAAACAAAAATAGATACTTCAATGTTCTTGTAATGCAATTTTTTTTTTAATGGCTCAGCTAAAAATAATATTTTCAATAATCTACTCTTCCCAAATTATATATTTTCTTTTCTTTTTGAGATTAACTAGAAATATATATATATATATACATATATATATATATATAAATACAAATAACTATTACGTTAATCTTTAAGTTTATCTTATCTTTTTCTTCTCCCCATATCCGAATGAATGGTAAAACTACTTTGAGATAAAAAAAAAAATAAAATAAAACAAACAGAAAAACATACCAAAAAAAAAAAAGAATCAAAAAATGTTAAAAATCCGTACATTACTTAAACATTTATATATAATAATAATAATAATAATAATAATAATGATCGTATGTAAAAGTAAAAAAATAAGATGTATTATTAAAAAAAAAAATTAATAAATAAATAAATAAATAAAACAAAAAAACAACAAAGAAAATAAAAACAAAGAATGTCAATAAGCCCTGTTTTATCGTGTCCTAAATTAGATTAGACAATCCCCATGATTTATAATTAAACACCGCCAGCCAATCAGCAGACAAATCAACAATACAGTGAGTGTGTCTCTCTTATAATGGACTGTTCTTTTTTTTTAAATAATAATAATAATAATAATAATAATAATAATAATAACAATAAGAAGAAGAATAATAGTAATAATAATAGTAGTAATAATAATAATAATAATAATAACGACAACAAGAACAACAATAACAACAACAACAACCCAATAACTGTCAGCTTTTTAATTACTAGTATATTATAATTAGCTGCAAGTACCTAACAGTGGCTCCAGTGGCAGTATTATCTCAACCGCTTGACGTTTATTAATAATAATAAACTTCTACGTGTATATATAAATGTATGTAGTATGTATGTATATATACGTATATCAAACGTGAAGGACCATACGTTTAATACGCATATTAAACCATATTATTTGATATATATCTCAATATATATATATATAAATAATGCGGAACCAACTTTGGGGGAGGAGGGCTATGTAGTTTTAATAAAAAACATACACAGCGTATAATTATCATTTTACGTCAATTGTCATATACAACCTGTTAATTACCTTTACTTTTACCAGTTAATACCTGTGTTAAACCTGTAGGCATACTTCAAACATATTAACCGCCCAATCGGGCATGAGACCATTTTTATTTTTTTTATTTTGCAAAGACACAAGAGATGAATTGTTCTTTTTTCAAACACAAAACAGTTCGTCATAAGACTTTCATTATAAGAAGTAAAAATTCAATAATACCTTTGAATAGTTTAAAAAAAAAAAATAAATAAATTGTATTACCTCATCGTTGAATTAGATATCATACGTATAAACCCTTTAGGTATGCTGTTGGCATTATAGTTTTTTCTTATTTTTTTTTTTCTTTTTTTCTTTACGCTCTTATTTGATTTTTTTTTCTTTTTGTAGTGTATTAGATAAAATGTTAAATAAACTTACTTATAGCCACCACTAGACCGGTCTCCGTATCCTCCACGATCCCCGTATCTACCTCCTCCGCCACCTTGACCTGTAAAACAATATTAATGTAGTTTGTTGATGTTTTATATAAAACAATATGACCGATACCAAACATTGTAAATGTAATTGAAATGAATACCTCCACCGTATCCTCCACTAGAGTTGCTACGATTATATCCACCTCCACCGCTGTTACTGCTTCCTCCATGACCATAACTTCCTCCTCCTCCTCCTCCACCTCCGTAACTTCCACTACCGCTGTTACCAGAATTACTGCCACTGTAACTGTTTTGTCCATAACCACTTTGACCAGGTGATTGATTGTAATCTTGGCCACCTCCGGTATTGTAAGCATTATAATTCCCATAACTAGCTCCAGTATTAGGAGGGGGTTGACTATATTGATTGTAATTACCACCACCGGTAGAAGGTGGTGGATAAGATGTATCCTGTCCTGCTGTCGGAGGGGGTTGACTGTATTGATTGTACCCCTGTTGGTAACTCGAATACTCTACAAATTACAATTATTTTATTAATACAATTACATTCATATATTTACATACATATACAAAAGACATATACTTATCTTTGGGGGTTATATTTAAATAATTATTAATTGTTTATAACAAGTAGTATCGAGTGAAGATAAATATTTAACTGATAATACACTTTTTTGTTTAATAAAACACAAGTTCATCATGATAAAATACAAATCAATTATCATGTCTAAATAAAAATAAAAATAAAAATAGAAAAAAATTGGAAAGAATATAATTATTGGTTAAATAATTAATTTACAAAAAAAAAAAAAGAAAAAAAAAGAAAAACAAAAAGAAAACGATAAAACGTGTATAATGAATATCGATTGGTATAAATATCACTTAAGAGTTGCAATAATGTGATGCTGTACAAATGACTATATATAACGTAATCACATCTATCAAACTTATATCAATAATTAAAATAATGTTAAATAAAACTATCTTTATTTCTAACGTATGAATATTATAATCTAATTTTATGGTTAAATTATGGATTCTTATGGATTCTTTTTCATATTGAATGTTCGTTTCTTTGAGCGTCATTCTTGTTCCCTTCAAATGTGGAACACATAATTCAATGGTCGAATATTTTCGAATAAAATCAATAAGAAATTTAGAAGTTAATCTAAAATAATATTAATTATTATTATTATTAATAAAATAAAACTTACGATTGTCCGTCATGGTGTATACGGAATGATCTCGAGTTTTGTTAAAAATAGCAAGTAATGGCGGGAAATTAACCGCCTACAACGACTAAAATTAGTTGAGGTGTTGTCGCTAAACTGGAATCGAGCTTTCTTTCACTAACGGAAGTTACTGATGTTTACCGGAAGTACTCATAACTCGTAGCACCACACTAATCATATTCAATACTGTTTTGTTATATGTATGATATATACAATTTATAATTGTTTAAACAATCATATACAATCTAATAATATTAAATAAAAATTAGAATCATTAATAAAAATATATTTGTAATGTATTTGATTAATTTAACAAAATTTGTATTATTTTTAAGTCTTATTTAAACTCGCACTTGATTTAAGCTGGCTTCTGATTGATCAAAAACTCTCGAATAACAGTTTCCGTTTTTTGAATTATAAATTAGAATAAATAAATATAGAGATACTTTTTAACTCTTTTTTTTTTTCTTATTTGTTATTAAAATATATAAATAATTATCTTTTTATATTTTTTTTTTAGAAAGGATTCTCTTCAATTATTTTATACAACTAAGGAATTAGGTTATGTTTATAAATATAATTATAGGTCGGTATTAAAGATAATAAAATATTGTTGAAAGATTATTAAATTATACTTTTATCTTCGTGTTTATAAATACTATACACATATTTTGAAAATTAATTAATATATTTCAAAAGATACGCTTTCTCTCTCTCTCTCTCTCGTCGTATGCGATTATTTATTTAAAACAGTCAATTGGATGCAAAGGAGTATCATCAATTGACAAAAAGATTTTTTTAAAGAATTAATGTTTTTGATTTTTTTTTTTTATAATACTCTTATATCAGATATAATCTGTACAATAACTTTGAATGAAAGATTAATAATATTGTTTAAAAATAATCTAAAACTACATGATGTGTATATATTTATATATATATATAGGTATAGTTTATATATATATRTATGTATATATAAACTGTGGTTTTAAATTATTTTTAATGCAACACGATCAAAACGAAGATGAATAATAAAAGAAACTGTACAAAACAAATTCAAACGTTTCTTAGTGATTTGACTATCGAATAAATCCTAAGATCACAAAATATTGATTATATACAAACGGTGTAAACATTTATTATTAATATGATGACGCGTACGTTTATACGTATAAAGTGAAAATATATATAATTAACTCATTTTCATAGATTTGAAATGACGACGGATTAAAAAATGTTATTTCACAATTTAGAGATCACGAATTGGAATGCTGAGAAGGTGTAAGTCCACCGGTGTGTTCAGGGCTGTGTTTTTGTTTTTTCCTTTTTTTCTCCTTTTTTCTTTTCTTCCTTGCTTCTTTTTCTTCGTCGTGTCTTTTCTGTTTTTTATGTTTCTTTTCGTGTGTATCTGAACTGCTGATATCGGTGGTAGCTGTTTCTTGTCCGGTTGGTATTTCACCAGGTTTGTGTTTATGCTTTTTATGTTTGTTCTTATGTTTCTTTTGTGGTGCTTGATTTACATATCTGTATTGCTCGGGTAACTAAAAAAAAAAAAAGATAAAAAACAAAGCAATTATTGTCTTAATAATGATAAAAATGAATAAATAAATAAATAAATAAATAATGAGATGATCTTACTGGTCCCGGATGTAATCTAAAACCAGCTAATTGCACACTAGTCAGTGGTAATAATTCTTTACCACCAATTGGAGGTTTTTCTATTACAGACCTTAATGAACTGTGAAATACAAAATTATGAATATAAACTAAATCAAGATATAATAAATGCTAAATAAATAAACATTTATTTTCTTACCTATTATCCTGATGACCAGGTGTATCAATATTGCCAGGTAAATTAGGAAGAAACGAAGATAATTGTTCTTTAAGCTTTTTACCGCTAAATTTACTGTAGGAATGTTCTAGACCATAATATGCCATCAAATTCGTTGCTCCAGTAAGTTCACTCTCCCCTAAAAAGAAAAATTAGTTAACGTTTATAAAAATTATATTTATTAAAATTAAATTATAATACAAGACCACGTCATAAGGTTCTTGAATGTTTGTTTTAATATTTGGAAAGTTTGAGTTTTGATATAAAATTAAAATGAATATATTTATATAAATTTATAAAGTGTCTGAAGAAGTTTTCTTGATCAAATAGTGTCAGAGTATTTTTGAATAAAATCTTTAAATAACCTGTGTTTACATAACATTTTCTTGCATAAATTACACTGACACTTTTTGAAAAAAACAACAATGTATATATTAAATATAAAAACCATATTTTACTATATATAACTAAATATAACTAAATATAACTATATATAACTATATATAACTAAATAATACTTAGATATTTTAAAACTATATTTTAAATATAAAAACAAGTCAAATGATCAACTTAATGGTATATATAACAATTATACAGAAAATTCTTGTCAATTTGTAATAAAATAAAAGTATAAAATTGATATACAAATAACACTGTCAAACATGGATTAATAAATGACAAGACTATAATAATAGAATAAAAATAACTATGAAAAACGAACAACACTAAACTAAAAACTAAATTTAAGTGCGCATCACTGTGATTGCGTATTCAGTGTGTTTGAAATGTTGTCAATTTTATTTTAAGAGTTATTATATATATATACCATAAATAAACAACGTGATCCAATTGAATTGAATAAGATTAATGATTACAAATAATAATAAAACTTATGATTACCAGGTGGTTCTTTCATTAAATAAAAAGGACCACTGTGGACGATGGAAGGATTTTTTCCGAGGGAAATCGTCGTTTTGAGTGTCCCTGTCGAGTCTTGGCGAGAAACAACAGGGGAACGTGCACCCCTCGGTGATGATTTTGGCGAGTACTGCTCCACTTTACTACGAAACTGATCGCCCATCATCCTCCAGCTTTTACTTCATCGCACCTCGTCACGACGATTTAACAAAAAACTCTAAATTAAGAGCACGAACGATCGTTTGAGTTCGATGTGCTCTTACTCCTCTCTTTCTCTCACTCTCTCTCTCTCTCTCTCTCTCTCTACTCACTCACTCTTCTCTTTTTCTCTCACTCTTACTATCCTTCTTTCACTCACTCACTCACTCACTCACTCTCTCTCTCTCTCTCTCTCTCTCTCTCTCTCTCTCTGTATTTTTCTGTTTTTCCTTCTTTCACAATTTTTCTCTTCGTTTCTTTATCTGGTAATGTATAACATTCGTATTATAAAAATTCAAGGTCCATTTTTAGGTCAACACTTAACACAAGTTTAATAGTACTTGTCGACTTCATCATTTTCCTAAATTATCCAGATAACGTTTAACATGATCGTTTGAATTTTATCATTCTTAGAAATAAAATAGGTTATTTCCAAAATAACAACATTGTTGTTTATAATGTTTGTTTTATCATGAGGATTTTCTTCTTGTTTTTTTATAAATAATTAAAAGTTAAAAATGATTAATATACAGAGCGTACTACTACGGTTACCGCTATGCTACTTTCATTTTACTCTTGACCACAACACTTGTTTAGACGACATCTATCGTACTTCTAAACGGTGCGCGCAGGCGCCATCTGTGCGGGAAAATTATGACCTCTTATTATAAATTATTCCTTTTCTAAATTAAATTAATTTCTTTTCTTTTTTTTTGTAAATTAAGAATCATTATTAAAAATTTTTCTCTAAAATAAATTGTTAATTAAATATATTTTATAAATGTGAACAAATAAATCAATAATGAATGAAGAAATATTCGATGAATTTTTCGAAATGCTTTTACGAACGTTGGCGGCAAATTCAAATAATAATTTAATGCGACACTGAAATTATTAAATATATTTGATATATATATATATATATATATGTATACTGACAAATATTTTAATCATTTGAAATGTTTTTACGAACACTCGTACTTTCAGTGGTAAATTTGATAATTTAACACGTTATCGAAATTATTAAATACATTTGATACATATATCGAAAAATATTCGACCTCTCGATATGCTTTGACGAACATTCGTATTTTTGGCGGCGAATTCAAAAGTTGACTTAACGCGACACCAAAGAAAAAATTCGAATAATAAGTTTACAAATTTTCTAATTTAATTACAAATAGATATATACGATAATGAACTATATTTTCATGACTTTTATTTCGTAGACGATACGTAAGTACCGAAATGTATATGTACATGTAAGTGATAATAACGAGTAGTATTTTTTTTTTTGTTTTATGTACAAGTACATCAAGTTTTATAAACACTAAACATTCGTCACAAATCTTATGCATTAAAGTTTTTTTCTTTTTTTTTTTTCTCTCTTAATCAATATTATTTTTTCTCTCTTTCTCTTTTTTATTTTATTTTATTTTTATTGTGTGTTGTACCGTTGTCTTGTTCATCTTCCTCTTCCTCTCTTCCTCATCCGCTTCTCCTCTCCATTTTCTCTTTTAAAGTACATCATTTTAATAATGACACTAATAAAACTATGGTCGTCTCAAGGATTGCACTATCTTCACTGCAAATTCAAGTGAAGCGTTTGAAAAAAAAAAAAAAAAATTAAAAAAAAGAACTAAAAGAAAAACAAAACAAAAAAAAAATATAAAACAAACATTTGCTAAAAACTATGACGTTCTAGCTCGTTATTAAGGCGTGCCTTTATTATTATTATTATTGTTATTGTTATCATTATTATGATGATGATTATTATTATTATTATTATTGTTATTATTATTATTATTATTATTATTATATTATTAATTATTATTATTTTTTTTCTCCATTAAAAGAGTCTCACTTAAATTTCTAGTAAAAGTGGTGCAACCGGGCCTACACCGATTTTTGTCCTAGTACAAAATAAGGGCGGCGGTTTTAGGGGGTGTTCTAAGAGGTGGGGTGTGAAGAGTGGAAATTTGGCACAGATCTCTCTCTTTCTTTTGAAATATAAAAATGAATATATGGAAGCTAAATCTTTAAAGACGGCGGGCAACAACACATTCTCTTGTTCATTTTTTTGTTTGTTTAAAAAGCGTTTTTAACATGGAAGGAATTCTTACAATGCTTGAATAAGTTTTCTTTTTGTCAAATAACAAACATATATATTGTAGATATATATATATATGTATATTCATGAAAATATTATGTACTATCTATCTGTGAAAAAAAGGTTCCCACGTGCAGAGATCTGTCATTCAAAGTTGGACAGTACACATATGCATATGTATATACACATATATAGAAAATTTGACAATTAGAAAATTTCGATGTTCTTTTCTTTTTTAATCTCATCGTTATTTAGCAGAACGATATGTGCTATGAAATAGTATTAATTATCAATTTCATTATAAACGAAGTGCGTTTATGCAAAAAGGTATTTTTTTTTTCTTTTCTTTTCCTTTTTTTTTTTCACCTTAACTTTACAGTCTGTTTTTATGTGTGTATCAAGCCTCTCTCTCACATATACATATATATGTCGAAATTGGACATATACAGTTTGCCAAAAATTCATATAATCTTACAAATGTAATAATAATAATAATAATAATGTACCGGCAATGAATAATAATAATTAATTAAGTGATTAATTTATATATCAATTAATAAACGCGACATTTTGTGTATAGTACAAATCGTTTTGTTTTCTTTCTTTCTTTTTCTTTTTTTTTTTTTTTGTTTCAAAGTAGCATTTACTCGGTGTATGTGTATGCATATGTTTATATATATATATGTATATATTTTGTGAGACATATGCTGTATGTATTTATTTGTATACCTAAAGAACCGTATGTATGTTTTTATGGTCTTATTTTTTTGTTTACTTCCAAATTCTCGGCACGTGTGTTTGTGTGTATGTGTATGGTGTGGTGTTTGGGACACATTCGTTCGCATACATTTCTCTTACATACTCACAAAAATTTTCTGGTTTTTTTCTGTTTGTTTCACATTTTATTTTGTATGCTTCGTTTGTTTGTTCCTTTTTTTTTATATTTTTTGTTTTTTTGTTTGTTCGTTTGACTTTTCTTCCCCAATATGTATTTTTTTTTTATTTTTGTATTTTTTTTTTTTTTCATAAAAATCAAAAGTCTTATAAGTTGGGCACGTACATAATAAAATGATGTGGATCCATAACAAATATATATATATATATATATATATACATATATAAGACTTATATATTATATATATGTATATATATGGGTGAAATTATATAAAGTCTTATATTTATCATTTACGTATAAATATTGTTAAATTATATATATTTATATATGTATATATATATATACGTATACATATGTAATTATATTCATATGCATATGTATATATATATATATTTATATATATGTATATTAAAAATTTTACTACACATTTTTCACGATTATCTTACACAGAATTTTCATTAATAACGCGACTAGCTTATCGCGTTGTTGTTGTTTTTTTTTTCTTTTTAAATATATATACATATATATGTATGTATATATATACATATATTTTTAGTTTACGTTATATTTTCGTAAAAGTCCCAAAAATGATGTAACGAAGAATATAATTGTATTTCTTCGTGCGATATTACATTTCTATTTGGTATGCGATTTCGCAATGGAAAATAATTCGGTATTAATCTGCCATCTTTTTTCATTTTCTCTTTCTTTCATTTTCATTCTCTTTAAAATATTCGCGTCGATTACTGTAAAATTACTTATGGCTCTAACTAGCCGCCTTTATTATATTATATAATAATTTTCACACACTCATCATTGTTATAATCAACATCATCATCACCATCATTACCACCACCACCACTACCATCATCATCATCAACATCAACATCAACATCAACATCATCATCATCATCATCATCATAGTCATCGTAATCGTAATCATTTTTTTTTAGTATTATAGATATTATTATTCATCCTCATTATTATTATCATCATCATCATTGTTATATCGTAATTACCGATGTTACAAATATAATATAATTTACGTGATAACGCTAACTCTATAGTCTCTTGGAAAAAATAATATAGTTCCTTAGTTAGCGTTAAGTGTATGAATAATATACATGAAAAGTGATCATATGTATTGTAAGAGACTGGACCAATAGGATTGAATGTAGTTGATGTTATATTCGATATCAACGTACAATATTGCTGCTTGCTGCTGCTGGTGCTTGTTTATTTTCCTTTAGACGGATATATTGTAAGTAATGTACGTTCCTTCTTGATTTGAACGAGAGACGCATAAGGGTAGCAATATTTGCACTCTCTCCGTCCAACGGCAGGATTGTACGGAGACTGGAAAGATGGGCTATACGGATATCTCATAACTCATATCATAGACACTAGCTCGATCTGGTGTTGGTGTGGTAGGTCTTTGCGATCTTGAATCATTAGGAGCAGAGACCATTTCCATAGAGTCTGTCATTTCTAACGCTCTTACAAATGACATAGGTCTACGTCTGGTATCGCCAGAAGTAGGTGTTGTTGGTGTTGCCATAACAGCTTTTCTTTTAACTTGCGGCGACTGTTGATGTGGCTGATGGGGTGGGAAGACTGGTACACCACCTCTCATAGCTGGATGATAAGCTGCTCTTGGAGCAGTTGTATAAGATTGTTGAGTTGGACTAGTTGGATTAGAGCGATAATAATCATAAGGTGGTGGTGGTCTCTGTGAAGGAGATTGATGAGTTGCTGCTACTGCTGCTGCTGCTGCTGCTGCCGCTGCTGCTCCAGTATTTGTCGACGAGGACATATTTCCTCCCGTTACTTGATAGCTACCGGGTGAATTATCTTTCCACAAATATGCACCACGCTGTGGTGACCCTGCAAGTTCTCTAATGTTGTCAACGGTATTGTTGGTTCTCGAATAAGAATGATCGGCATGGATTAGCTCGCTTTCCGATAAAAAACGTCGTTGAGGACTATAACCGGTAACAACGGTAACTCCACCGACTCCCCCGCCACCACCAATTCCAATACTATTTCCTTGTTGTACGTCATAATATGTTGGTGTTTCATTAACTCCTATAAAGTCCGGTCGACGTACCTGTGTCGGTGTACCTGGATTGGATCTGTAACATAGATTGACCGTTTCGGTTTCTGAGCCTAATCGGACGATGGTATGGTTAAATGAATGTTGATATAATCGACAAATGCACAGTACAGTGAACCAATATTTAATAATATATGCGAGTGCTGAGCATTGTAGCCATACAAATACGGCTCTGGCGAGACATACAGGAGAGAGAGCAGCGCATCATTCCTGTTAAGAAATTAGCATCTATTGAAGGAAAGTAAAACATATAGCGAACCTAAGAAATACATGTAAGTGTTCAACGTGCTTGTGTGTGTCTATGTGTATGCGTATGTTTGTGAGCGTATATAACACGTGTATACATGTTGTGTGTTTGTACGTAAAAAAACTTGTTTAAGTATATTTTTTGTTTGTTTGTTCAAAAAATGTTTCAATTGGGTAAAAATATATATATTTATATATATATATATATATTTTTTTTTATTTTCTTTTAAAAATGCAATCCTTATAAACCATTATGCAAGAAAGCACAATTTTAAACTACGATATTTCCTCGTAGGATGAAGTTCGTGTTTACCTGCAGTAGGTTGCAACATGATGGCAGAGAGCAGCTCCTTGCAGTTACCACCCCCTGCAGTGGGACACAAACTTATCTATATACCATAGATCTCGTAGTATGTATTCATGCAGAGAGACTAACCTTCTACAATTTTATTGTGAACTACATCGCACAATCGTCTTTTCGACAGGTTGTTCCTTTCGTAAGGTTAATCGAAGGATTATAAGGTGAGAAAATAGAGTGAACAATACGTGTGAAAAAAATAATGTAGGATAATAATAATAATAATAATAAGAGCAAGAGTGAGGGGGGTGAGTTTTTTCAAAGTGAGAAGAAGAAGAATATAGAGAAAAGGGGTGGGTGGAATAATTAGGGTAGTTATATTCATTATTTTTTTTTTTTATTTTGTTCTAACTTATAAGGTGACAACGACATTTTGAGAGAAAATAGGTGACGAGAATAAAAAAAAAATTAAAAAAAAAAAACAAACAAATTATCCATTTTTATATTGGCAGCGTGCTTGAAAGATGCAATATAACTATTACTAGTGTATGTGTATGTGTGTGGTGCTTCCCCCTCTTGCTCTCTCTATGTCAAAAATCATTTTTTTATTTGTGCAATGAAAAGAATTTCAAAAGTCCTTAATTATTTAATTTATTTTTAATTTATTTTTAATATCAATAATTAATCAATCAATTTATTCCAAGATGTAAAAAAAAAAAAAAAGTTTATCGATAAACATTTTTTTTTCTTTTTATCGAGAGAAAATATTTATTATAAATAAATGTTTTTTTTTTAATTAAAAAATAAATAATATTAATAAAATTGATTTGAATAAATTTTTTGAATAAATATATCCCTTAAGATGGGAGCTGTAGGTACAACGACGATGTGTTTGGATCCGATATTATGGCTAAAGAATCTGAGCATACCTGCGAATAGGACTGGAAATGGCAAGTGGCGTTGGTACTCCTATTGCTTTAATACGTTGTTGCATTGTTGGACTAGCACCTCCTTGACCTTGATTACGTTGAGGAGCAGTAGCAGGAGAACCACTTACTTCTGGTGATAATGGGTCTGGTGTATGACTACGTGATCCATTCATCCCCCTATAAAAGAAATTAAATGTATTAAACCTTTTTATAATCTTACTTTTAAATTATTATTATTATTATTATTATTACCTTGGCTTTGGATGAGGACTGCCTCTAGGATAATGAATCGGATGACGATGTTGTGGTGGTTGAGGATGCCTGGGAGATTCATTACTTTCAACGGGTGGCAAAAAGAAATTGCTTTTAGAACCATGTCTTTGCAATGGTGGTGTTGGTTCACAATCTGCTGATTGAGACGCGGTTGGTTCCATATCTGTATCTGAACCATCACGACCAGGTGATAACTATAAATGATAATTACAAAATATATATTTTATATAATGCGTTTAAATGTTGTTATATTAACAATATATTATAATATATTTTATATAATAATATTCATGACAATAATCATACATAGTAAATATTCTGCAGGCAGAGGCATTAGTTTAGGATTGGCAGGAATAGATTATTATACAAATAAAATCAACATCTTTCTGCTATTCTGAATTGGAAATTGGTTATGGAAAAGGAATCTTCACTTGTGCTCGTAGTACTCTAAGGACATAAATTACAAGATTAGATGAAATTAATGTTTCTTTTTTTGTTTTTTTTTTGTTTTGTTTTAGGTATGGAAGATTAATTCACAGAACTAAAAGCATTTGTTTTCATGAAATATAACATTATAGATTAAACATATACGCAATGGTTGTTAGAACAAGCTTATTAAGCTAAAATTATACAAGTTCAATTACAAACAGTATGTAAAAAAGAGGAAATGTATTGGATAATCTAATTATATAATCAAGGAAATTTTCCAACTCGTGTAACGTGTATCACATCTACAAGTGTAAAATAAAGCAACAACATTGCACAATAGAACAGCGTTAAAAGAAGCATGCCAAGGAAAAGAGAACATTTTGCCTTTTAAAAAGTTTCTTCTTTGTGTACAGAAGCAAGAGAAGTTTGATTGGTTTTTTTGTTCTTTTCTTTTTTTTTGTTCAGCATAGTTGCACTAGCTCTTACCTTATTGTAAGCATTTGAACTGGCATTTCTAACACCATTGCTGCTATCCATGTAGGTTTTTACCTGGTTCTCACTGTCTATGGTTGATATCTCAGATGTACATGCGCCTCGTCGTTTTCCTGAATATTTATCAGGCTTAATTAAACTGTAAAAATAAATGTTTTCTTTTACAATATATATATACATATATATTTACTTAATAAGTAATAGTATTTAATTGACAGTATAATATATAACCTTGGGTATTGTGGTCCAAATTGCGTATACCAACAATTTTGTAAACATCCTTTCGAAAAAGGATTGTAACCTCCGTTGAACTTGCCCGTTACTTGTTCATTGGTTGTTCGTCCTCTAGAAACAAGTATTATGTGAAAGCCTGTTAATCCAAAAATTGGAAGAAACAGTAATACTATCACACCCATAAGCACAAGCCTATGTTTACAGTTAAGAAATATATCAATAATAAAAAATCATTATTTTAAGAATGAATTATTTGTATTGGTTTTGAAGGATACGAAATAATTGCGTCAACGTCTCCTAATTGCTTTTGATGTTCCAATATGAAATACAAACAAAGTCCAAATATACTAATCATATGAAGGCTAAGGGACAAAAGGAAGAAGAAAAAAAATCTGTAATTTCTTCTACCAATGCAATTGTTGACCCACGGGCAGTGATGATCAAATGTCTGTAAATATACAAAATATATATTTATATAGAAAATATTACAGAATTCATTGATCAAATTGCAAAAGTATAATTTACAAGATTACTGATTGCAGTTTGATTGATAAACTTTAGGACACTCTATATATTCATACTTACTTCGATGCAATGGTTGCAAACGCTACAATGAGAACAACGAGGTGGTCTATAAAATTTGCACGTAACACACCATTTCATACGCACAGTAATACCATTGATCTCAACGTTCTTATACAATGGAGCTCTAAAGTCATCCTCCCTGTCTTCGTCAGGAGGTGCTTAAAAGGAAACATATCGTACAATTAAAAATCTGTTATAAATACATATGTCTGTATAAATTGACTAATTTATTATTAATAATGTCAACATACCTTTTGGTATAACACCTGGATCCATAAACGTGGCCAGTGTAAAATTGGTCAGTACAAAGAAAGATATAACTCCTTGAAAGGCTGGCACCAGGGAACCCCATCGAAGGACATAATATCGACACCTGTTTTGTATGATCAATATCAACACATAAGTATTTAATTTGAAAATAACGATAAACACACATGATCGTCATTGATAACATATTTTTGAAAGAATTTATAAAAAGTAAATAAAAGTAAAAAAAAAAAACCCCCGTATATGTAATGATCCGACGAATGACACACTCTAGGGATAAATTTGAACACATTACTCACGGGAAACAATAAAAAAGTGTCGTAGCTCCTAATAGAACCGTCCAAGCGAACATTGCTGGTACATATTTTGTTTTCACATCGCATTTCGGCATTCTGCACAATCCAACTTCTAGGTTCACAATAGAAGAATTAATAATGGGCAAGATTTCTGCTACCAGGAAACATGGCCGCGTCCATCGGTGCTACTTGTTTGTAAGTTGCAAGATCTATGATTTACGAGGACTCCCATTTTCTCTCACTTTAGTCATTCGTGATAAGTCCTTAATTACACCTTCCATCACATGAATGTTACTCCGGCAAAAACATTAGTAACGTAATTAATATTTAGTCGCTTATGCTTACATCAACCGTGAACACACCACCTAACTCTCTGTGACATATATATATATATGTATATGTATACGTATATGTATAACTAGATGTATATAGGACTTATATGTATAACGTGAATAGAGCGAATTGTTTCTCCTGTACCAATGCTCTGATTGGTGTGTTCGGTAATTCGACGAATCTTATCTTTTCATTATTTCTAACCAAACTTTTATGTTATTCATGAAAATATTATTTGATCAAAGTTATATATACATACAAAATTTCATTGGTTTTGTATTCAATTAATCAGAACAAAATTATAAAATAAAATATAAATATGTGTATTCATGATTTAAATGATTATTATTGTTGTAATTGGTCATTTCTATAAATACATATTTAAAATGTATTGTTATAATTATATTCTATAATTGCAATCATGTCATTTCAATTGCAGTCAATGAAAACGACACTTTATATTGTGTCATTTTAATTTTAGCCTATCATAGAGAGATTTTATACAAGTTAATTTCATTTCAACCAATCACAGCGAAGACATTTTATCTTTATCCAATCATATATGTTTTTGCACGATGTAATGCTTAATACTAGAAAACAATAATTATTAATTTCCATATATGTATAAATTTGTATTAAAATCGAATTTTATTTGATAACTTAATCTAAAATATTAAAAACAAAAATATATTATTTATATTAAAAATAGTATTATTAGTATTTTAATGATACACATGGACGCGGTCTTGAATGAACGTCGCCATTCGCCATTGTAACTTTTAAGAAGAAGAAGAATGTACAATATACCTTAATAGGAAGTATTCCTTGGATCTTAAATTAATCAGAGGACATTAAAAAAATATTATAATGTAAGTAAAGTTTCGATTAATATATATTTTCATATGATTGCATTTAAAATCATTGAAAATGTATAACCTCTGTGTATATCTGTATGTATATGTATATACGTATATACGCCATTTGCCGCTTTATATATAGGGCTCGAAGCCGGAAGGATAGTACAGGTAAAAGCGATTCTGAAGCTACAGATAAGGAAAGTAAAAGAGAAAGGGGTAGAGAAAAAGAAAGAAAGAAACGTGCTGCATCTTCCTCCAGCAGTGGTAGCAGGTATAATTTATCATTTTAATTATTCTACGTTAAGTCTCAAAACATATAATTATGTTGATACGTATGACCTCGCAGTTCATCGGACAGTAGCTCAGGATCATCTAGTTCTAGCAGTGGCAGTAGTTCAAGATCCAGTTCATCTTCGAGTACATCTTCTAGTACTTCTGGAAGTTCATCTGGTAGCTCCAGAGATAGAGGTCGCAAAAGAAGTCGCAGCAAGAGTGTTGATGCATCCAGACGACATGATAATAAGGAAAAAGAAAGGGAGAAGGATAGAGACAGGGAAAGGGAGAGAGACAGGGATCGAGATAGAGAAAGAGACCGAGATAAGGATAAAAAGAAAAGCAGTAATTCTGTTGTTGATAAACCCAAACCTAAAGGACGCTCCAGGTTATTACATTATTAATCTCTTATATACATTTAATTCCTTTAACGTAAAGTAATAATATTAGTATATCATATGTTATACTTTTCTTATTTCTTGTTTAATTTTCTAGATCTCCTTCACCCCGACGTAAACGCAGAGAACGTTCACCAATTCCAAGGCCAACAAAAATACATATCGGGCACTTGACCCGAAATGTTACAAAAGAACACATAATGGAGATATTTTCAGCTTATGGTCAAATCAAAATGGTTGACTTCTCGATGGATAAACTTCATCCAAATCAAGGACGTGGATTCGCATATGTCGAATTTGAAACAGCCGACGAAGCTGAAAATGCTATGAAACATATGGACGGTGGTAAGATAAATAATTTACAAATATAATCAAATAAAATGATGAAAATAATATTATTGAAATGTTGATGATTTTTCAAGGACAAATCGATGGTCAAGAAATAACAGCTGCACCAGTATTGTTACCAAAACCAAGACCAATACCAATGCGCAGAATGTCACCAGTAATGGGAAGACGTGTACCATTAAGATGGGGAGGTGGTAGAAATACTCCTCCACGTTATCGTAGACGTTCACCACCGATGAATCGACGTAGAAGTCCTCGTCCACCGAGACGTAGACCAAGAAGTCGTTCTCGAAGTCCACAAAATAATCCACGACATCGACATCGTCGATACACAAGATCTAGTTCGAGCAGTTCTCGATAACGCTCTTTTTGTATATACTAAGGTTACGAACTGAAATTTTGATCAAAAATAAATTCACATCTATAATTGATCGTTTTGGTATAACGAAAATAAAAGAAGAAGAAAAATAAATCAATTTCAATTCTAAAGGGGTGATTTGTGCTTTTGCAGGAATACTTATCGAGTATATCTGTATTTATATTCATCGATTTTGCACGTTAAGAAAATCAATAATAATATTAATAATAATAATAATAATGATAATAATAATAATGATAATGATGATTTAATGTTTTGTCAGTCACCATGTGTCGTATCACGTTACTTTTAGAAATATATTGATTTTTCACATGGTTAATGTAATTTAAAAGCACCTTCATCGGTATATGTGAACTCCGGTGAAATCATTTTATAAAAATTTTTGCAAAAATAATGTAATAACTTATTGTACTCGTGATTGGTATAATTTCTCTTAATTAATATCAATATGTGAAACAATATATTAATATCTTGTGAAAGTTCATCAGAAAATTTCAAATATTAGAAATTTAAAAGAAGTCACAGTAAGAGCATTTGATGCATCCAAATAATATATATATATATATATATATTATGAATGAAAACAAAAATACCGTAGGAGTGCCGATGGTAGTGCTCTCATATTTTGTTTGTTACTTATCTGATTCTTCTCACGTTCTATATATATATATATATAAAGCATAAAATGAGTGTACATCCGATAAAACATAAAAGATCAATATTTTATAAACGACTAAATAAAAAAAAACGAAAAGAAACAAAAAAAATCATAATAATAATAATAATAATAACAAAATTGTTAACTAAATTAAAAAATATAAATGTATGATATTATTTATACAATTAATTATTTTTTTTTTTCATTCTTCTCGTACAAATATTCGTAAATACTTTTTTTAATTATCTAAAAATGATGTACGCATGAATTAGTTAATTATATATATATATATTTTTTTTTTTTCTAATGGATGTATTTTCAAAAAAGGGACGTAGGCTTATTATGAATTAGAATAAGATTATAAATTTTTCTAATGATTTGGTTGTTTGTTTGTTAACTAATTGTTTGTCCATCTCATTTTAAGCGTATATTTTTGTGTCCACCAAACTTTTTCACGTACGCTTTCTCGTAATATGATTTCAAAACTATTCAAACTTCAATGAAACATTGTGATTGATGATGTAATAATATTAGCAGCACGTATTATATATTACAAAAAATTTATTTAACGCGCTATCTCCATTCGTACTGTGAATTTTTATCAGAAAATATTCTAAAATATCTGACTCGACTATTAAAAAAAAAAAAAAAAAAACGAAAACAAAATAATATTTAAAAAAACGAAAGAAATATTTTGTGATTTTTCAATAATTATTATTATTATTATTTTTTTTTATAAACATATTTCCAATAGCGGGTTTATTGGTTATTATAATTACTTCTTATGTTTCTTTTTTTAAAATGAAACTTCTCCCTTTGGAAGAGTACCGCCATATTTTTTGAAAGACACGACACAATTCTAAGATTTCCAAGGAGTATGTTATTTTAAATGATAAGAAAAAACAATGGTAAGATTTGTAAAAGATTCAAATGAAAAATTCAACACAAATTTCGTTTCAATCGTATAAATAAACCCCCATCCACGTGTTTTTCATTTGAATTGTTTCTATATAAAAAAAAAAAAAACGCGCGAAATTTGAATATCTGTCAATCGTACAACAAAATGAAATAATTATTTCACTTAATATAATAAATATATGCATACATAAGGATTAAAAATGATGATTGATGATATTAATAATGATGATGATGATGATGATGATGATGATGATAATGATAATGATGACACTTGAAAGGATACACAACTTTGATAGAAACTATGATTATTGAGACCCTTTTACAAAGAATCAATTTTAGAAAAAATCCTATTATTCACACAAAAATCATTTCCTTTATGATACTTTATCTTTTTTTCATTCTTATTAACCTCCATTTTTAATATACTTCGTCATGGATATCTACAAGAGAACAAAAACTTGTATTTGTATATCGCATTTTGTTGCGACAATTGCATCGATGTAAAATTATCTACATGTTTTTTTTTAATGTTAAATCCATTTTCTTTCTGTTTTGTTTGTTCTTTCTTTCTTTCTTACGTTTTTGTAATATATACGTGGTCATTTATATTATTATTATTATATAATGTACACTTTTATATACGTGAAAACTTTACAGTATAGAAACAAAGTGTCCTTTGTTTTATCTTCTTTTTTTTTAATTATTATTCTCAATACTAGTAATGCATGTTTTCGAAAAAAGGTAAAAAATGTGTGTGTGTGTGTTTTCTTTATACTGCCATTCTATTTTTCTTATTTTTTCTTTTCTTTAGAAGAACCAGTGTGTGTGTGTATTTGTTGTGTATGGTATGTAATAATTTGTTTAGAATAATATATCCCACAAATTATTTTAAAAATAGAAAAATAAATTATAAATATATATATATATATAAACATATTTTATCATCGTAAAAAGAATAAATTTCAAAAAAAAAAAAAACAAAAAAACAAAATCAAAGTTTAGAAAAAATTTTTAATAACAAATATATGATTGATTAAATCCCTAAACTTGTAAATGTAAATCTATGGTGTTACAAATATGTAACATACACATATGTTAATCTTCTTTCTAACATATTCATATATTTATAAATGTATTTATTTTTTAATATGTTTCAAAACGTTGAAGATTATTAATTAAAAAAAAAAAAGAACTAAAAGAAAAATCAAAATAATAAAGAAAATGATTTTGGCGGGGAGAAAAAAATAAGAAAATAATTTTGGCAGAAAATGAAAAAATGTTTGATTTTGTAAATGTTTTTTCTTGTTTTTTTTTTTTCTCCTCTCTTTATATATATATATATGTATGCGTGTAAGTTAAAAGAGAATTTTTAATAAAAAATAAATATGTGATATATAATAATGAAAAATTGAATGAACGGATTAAAAATAATAATAATAATAATAATAATAATAATAATAATAATAATAATAATAATAGAGATCACCAGTTTTTCTATAGAAATTTGTTCTTATAGAAATTCCTTAGAAATTGTCTTATAAAAAAAAATTACAACGTCGTAATTGTGTAGTTATTTTAACGAGGACGATTGTTATTATAATTAAATTAATTAAAATTAAAAAAAAAAGAAATAATCAAAGAAAAAGAGAAACAAAAAGAAAATTTGTTTTTAAAAGAAATAAAAAAAAAAAGAAAAAATATTTGGAGATCTGTGTGATGAAAAAAAAAAAATTATAATCATATAAACATATGTATATAATATATATTATATACATATATGATACATTATAATCATAAAAAAAAAAAAAAATAAAAAATCATTATTATTATTATTTCTGTGCTTTAAAAAGAAAAAGCACTTTGGCACGGACAAAATTATGACTTACGTATTGTTCCACACAACAGATCTCAAAAAAACTGATGAATTTGATTTTATAAGAGATGAAAAAAAAAAAAAAGATCCTGTGATATTTTTTGCCGCGTTTTTGTTATAATTATTTCCAATTTTGTTTTATTATTATAATTTTTTTTTTTTTTTTTATTTCTTTTCTTTTTCTCGTATTTATTTTCTTTTTTTTTTGTTTTTGTTTTGTCACATGGTCGCATTAATAATATATCGTAGTAAATAATATTTTTCAATGATAATATTTCTTTTTTTTTTTTTTTTATTATTATTATAATATTTTTATTATTTCTTTTTTTTTATGGGTTTTTTTTTCTCTTTCTAAAAGAAGAAGAAGAAGAAGTAATTTCAATTTGATTTATAAATTTGGTCGCACCGATTTAAAAATAAAAAAAAACAAAAAATACAAATCATACAGAACAAATTTTTACATCTCAGTACTAATGAGTCAAAAATGTTCATATCACAGGAGAGACAAAAAAAAAAGTCATATACATTAATAAAACAATAATAATAATAATAATGATAATAATAATAATAATAATAATAATAATAATAATAATAATAATAATAATAATAATAATACTTAAAACATAATACACACACATTTTTTCAAATTTAATAAAAATTGTACAAAATAAAAAAGAAAAACATAAGACGATGTTTCAACAAAACAAAAGAAAAAAAATTAAAATCTATAAGGCCCAATTATATATATTTTCTAATTAATTATTTTTTTTTTGTCTGTCCTTACAATTGTTTTTTCAAATTTGTCTCTTTTTCCTTTTCTCACTGGACTCTTTCTTCTCTCTAATTAAAAAAAAAAAAATGTACAAATTTTTAAATTCTATCAAAAAGAAAAAGAAGAAAAATAATAATAATAATAATATAATAATAATAATGAATATGTATAATAATAATTAATAATAATAATTAATAATAGTAATA